TATAATTTACATGTTTGTGATATGAAAAATTTGTTATCTATGCTATTTTTTCTTGTAGACCGTCATTTTCAAGATAAGGTAATAGGCATAAAGTGTAAGGTGATATAAATTTGGAATACAAAGTAATGTGAATGGTGTGCATTTGGTCCTCAAATCGTGGTCTTAGTCTCTCAAAACAATTTCTCGCCTGGGGAGGGATTTTATAGCAATTTTTCCTTAATATAATTCCCCTTGATCACTTGAATTCTGTGTGTGTGTGTATATTCTGGGCAAAAAAAAAAGGAATTCTGTAACTATAATAATATACAAAACATAATAAAAATACAATAACATATAGGAAAAATTACATATATGTACCATGAAGCAAACTTATTTACAAATAAGTTTTATAAAATTTAAAAATCACAACCAGACCCCTTGAGACCTGAGTATAACTTGAAATTGTGGTACAAAGATAATAATGCTTCTATTAAAAATATATTATATCAATCAAATAATTTACAACTACTCTATCAACAATTTATAATTATCATTTTAACTTTTTACAATTGTAACTTTATATATTTAATAGTTAAATTGATCATGCATTACAAGTTTGATACTAATTATATGCAATTACCCCATTAGTAATTTATAATTATTACTTTAACATTTTACAATAATAATTTTACATGTCTAATAGTTAAATCGATTATGCGTTGCTAGCAAAATTTAACACTAATTATTTACAACTGTCACATTAGTAATTTATAACTCACACTTTAATATTTTATAATTGTAACTTCAATATTTTTAATAGGGATAGAATTGTCTTTGTACTTTAAATTCAAATTATACTCAGGTGTCAAGAGATTTGGTTATAGTTTTTAAATTTTACGGAATTTATTTATAAACAAGTATGCTTCACGAGATTTATATGTAATTTTTCCTAATATATATAAGGAAAAAAAAAACCAACGATCTAACCATCGGATGCTTGATTCAACCTGCCGCTCAAGTTCTAGGAATAAATGTTGGTGGTAGATTGAACTTTATACTTGAAAGGTATTAGAATACATTGAACTTTTAATTAAAGAATGATTGAAGGCATATAAGTTTAATGTAAGTTCTATCAAATTATATATTTTAAACTATTTTGATAAAAAGTCAAATATAATATATACCAAAATCACCAAAGTTTTAATAAAAGGATCTCACCCTGGCGATGTATGACCTTTCTGAGCTCTAATATGATTTAGCTTAAAATGTTGTTTTTCGACAAAACTTGCTTCATGGTCTTGTATTTTTTTTTTTTTAAATCCTTGTCTCCACGCAGACGAGCGTGAATCCGTTAAAATCTTCAGAATATTGATATAATTCAGCTTGAAGTTGAATAATCTATATATAAAATATACAAAACAGAATAACAATGGAAAGCACAAATAAGAAAAGGAACAGGTAGCGTGCATGTGATGGGTGGTTTAGGGTTTAAAAGCTAAATGAAAGACATTGACATGAAAAAAAATGATTCAATCATAGTTTAGCTCATGAGCTGGCGTCATGAAACCCAGAGTTGACTTCTCTTTTGAACCACACACACACACGCACCCCACGTCCCCATGTCTTAAAATAATGATGGTGCCTTTTCTTTCGGATTCAACGCACACTTTCACGCATACCAACTCATTCACTCTTTCAAATAATGTTTACCTTCACGGCTTTTACACATAATTTATTTCATGGATTCAAATTAACCTTTAAGAAGAATAAATTATTTCAATTTATATATTCTCGTAATTAAATCTCTAGTTTCATAATACAAAAGCTCAACTTTAAATTACATGTGAGAAAATAAAGAAAATAACACATCTTAACTTAAAACATTAAAATTTGAGTTTATATATAATATTTTTTATTTTATATTAGTTATTAAGTTTTTGATATGAGACTCCTTATATTGATTTTTGTTTACCTGCACTTAAATAACCTAATAAACATGTTTGTATTACTAAATGTTTCTGACTTTGATTTATTATTCTCTAGATTTGATATCAAAGATGAGCAAGTTCTTTGAATGTATAATTACACGCACGCTGCCATCTTGAATTGCTTAGCCAGTAAACAGTTAATTGGTTTACAATTGTTAACGATCTTGAAGACGAAGGAAAAATGATGAGAAATAACAACGTTGCTTAATAGATATAATGGATGTCTAAAGCATCCTTTATATCAACATTATATGTGATCATCCTATATATTCTTCTCAAGAAAGCTTCATTTATATGCCCCCTAACAAATTTCATTTGTCCCTATTTTAACTTATTTGTGATTGGAGGAATTTGAAATTGTGCACTTAATAAATGAAGGAAGGTTTTTCTTGGGTTAAAAAAAAATGCGTGAGTTGAGTTCTGAGGACTCATTAGTATCAGGATATACTTTCAAGTTTAAAAAATGTTTGTAGAAGTACTTGTAGGTCACCCATCACCTAGTAAAACCTTCATATTGGTAGCGGAATAGGTTCTGGACTGAATCTTTACTAACCAAGTCAAATCCTTGTTGGTTAAGTGAAGGAAATTACTGGATATTAGCATTGAGAATGAAAATGGGCTTGGGTGTTGTGACGGGCCCATATTGACATGGACATGACTAATTTTATACATAAACTCGAAGGGATTGATGATTTAGTTTATAGTCTATTTTGTTTTGGACTTAGGTTGATCCTTCGAAGCCCATTGTGGATGAATTACTTATGCATGATTGGAATTTCTCGGGCCAACACGCGTGAGAGGATTGAGTCCTTGTTTTTTCCTTTTCTCCGAAAAAGAACAAATACACTCGCACATGCCTTACCTATGCCTTCCTGTACAGGAAAAGGTGCCATTATTTGGAGTCTACTCTAGTACTTGAAGGATTATCTTATTTAGACATTATCGTTGTTTTTTTAAAAATACTAGCAAAGGTGACCAAACATATATTGATCTTGGTAGAAGATGCTATGACCGCTTAAGCAAAAAGCCTTGAGTTTGGGTTTATGTAAATGTGGGAAACATTTTTGGAAGAGCTACCTTCACTGGGTCCAAAAATACTTGGATCTGACATAGTAGTCATGTAAAAAACATAACACAAATAAGCATGATGTTGTTCTTTATATCAAAATCAGTGCCTATAATTATATGTGTTCTTATGAAAATTACTCCCAAACCAAAAACAATTGAAACTTGAGTGCAATCAAAGTGTAGGTTGTGGAGGTCGTGAAACACACAAGCAAAGAATTGTACGTAATGTAATAATAATTCCAAGTCAAGGTCGCGTGTGATAATTCCAAGTCAAGGTCTCGTGTCACACGCACTTGTCTATTGTTCCTTCTAATAAGTTGCAGCAACACAAACTTACCACACATTCACACACTCATCATCAATCCCTCTTCCTACCACTACTGCTATGACTATTACTATCACTGCCACCATGGCTCTTCCATTTGCGTTTTCTTTGTTTCCCATTTAATTAAGCAAAATGAGCTTAATTAATTTGGTTGCAATCAGTTAATCATTGTACTATATATTTACAAAAAAAAAAACTTTCTTGCCGATAAAATGTGTATCATGACCATATTTTTTATTGTTTTAACTATAAAGTTCTTGCCGGATCTATTTTAAAAACTAAGATTTTCTTAAAAATGGAAGGTGGCTGTTGGAAAATGGGAAAAGAGAACAAATGGGCAAAGAGTGAATGCAATGACGGACACGGGATTAGCAGTAGCATACAATATAAAATAATAAAAATTAAATTAAGATATCATAAAAGATTGCATAAATTTAAGATATCATAAAAGATGATATAAATTTAAGTTACCTAAAAAGATCATACAAATTTAAATTTAATAAGTTAAGAACTTAAAATCTAGTAGACTTAATAGAAATATCAAAGATTTACATTTTTTCAGAACACAAATATGTTTTATTTTGAGTCTAAATGGATAAAAATTATTGAGGCAGTGCGTGAAAATTTTTAAATCAAAATTTTAAAGTTTAATTTTATGGGCCATCTTTTTTTATATATTATATTAATTATTAAACTTAACTTTATTTAATATGAAATTTTTCACATGAGCTCAAGCCCAATTAGGACAATTTAAAAATTTTTAATCCAATTTGTTAACACAGTTAGAAGCATTATCTTAAAAAGTTTTAAAAATGATATTATTAATCGAAATTTATATTAACATATGTCTTAATTAACTAATCCTTTATACCTAATAAATATATTATTTTTATAATATCTTAAAAAGTATATATGTTTGATCCATTGTTTTAGCTCATGTTTTAGTTTAAAAGATTATTAAATAAATTATTCCTATAAAAATAATCAAAAAATTATTTCTTCTTTTTTTGGTATTATCCTCATTTTTTTAGTCAGACTATTATCAACTACAATTTATAATTCGATAGGTCCTTATCCTGAACATAATTAATTGTCCTTTTAAATCCAATACATTTATTTTTTTTTTCTTTCTCAGTTAGTATCTCTTTTTTATTATAGGGGAGATATTATTCTAATTATTTCATGAATTTGCATACGATTAATGGTAGAAATATTGAACCTTTATAATCATTCTTTTCTATGTTATGTAAGAATGATCCCAAATAACATGCGGATAATTAATTGTTAACAAGCATAAAAATGAAGTTTAAACGACAAATTAAATGGTCATTAGAAAACCATATAAAAAATAAAACTTTTCAGGCAATCCTATGGCCATTAAACGTATTTAAAAAAATTCAGTGGGCATTCACTAGCTACCTAATGTGTGCAAGATATTTATGAATTTTTTTTATAATGTGAAAATGCAAATTCACTTCACTTGTCCATGAATATCAGTAGAGAATAACTAGAGATAGGCAAGTGACAGTTGATAATTTTTTTTTTTTTTGGGAAATAAGCTTTTTTGAGTCACAAATTAAATTTTTTTTGGGGTATAAATAAAGATAGTGGGCTCTTTCCTACTAACGGCAATGAGTGCTAATTGTATTCAATGAGAATTGAATTGGGTTGAAGAAGAATCACGGTACCAGCATCAACTTCCAAGCTTTTTGCAATGGCGAGCAAGAGAAGCGCCAAAACAACCACTTCCTTGATCCTTGTCTTTGTCTTAGCGATTTGTACCTTCGTTCCTGTTTTCGCTTCTCTCCCTTCTTCCTTCCCTCACCACCATGGTAATCGCTCTGAGGCCAAGAATAATGTAAGTCACGTTACTCTTTTACCTATTCTAGGCGTATTCTGTCATGAGCAAGCATGCTTGATCTTTAGTATTTCGGAAATTTAGTTTCTGGGTAGTGGGAAAGTAGGAAATGAACTTGCTATTATTGTTGGAATCTAAAATGAATACGCTTTTTATTGAGGAAACCAGACTTGTTTGGCTGCCGCGGTTTGAGGTTTTCTTCTTCATGATTCTTGTTTATTGAGGTTCAGAACCTTAAAACTTCGTCAGTAAAATAAAATTGTAAATGAAGTTTGAAGCTTCTGCTATTACTCAATCATATCTAATCTACCTCCTGCATCTTTTCTCTGGTCAGTTTTTCCTTCATTAGGAAACGATGAGCTATTTCCTCTTTTCGGCTGTGCTGGATCCGTTTCATGGGAATTGTTATCACATTTCACAAACGGCCGTCATGTTGAGATAACTAGAGTTGTAGCTTTTCTTTGTTTTGAGTTGAATTTGATAACTTCTTGACCAATTACACTCTCCTGCAATTGTTATCAGGTCAGCAGGAAGTTTGGGATTAGCAATGATATGTTTTGGAAAGATGGTCATCCCTTCCAGATCATTGGCGGTGACTTGCATTATTTTCGGGTGCTTCCAGAGGTATATATCTCATAGACATCTCTCAGTTTAATAGGAGAATGAGGATCTTTAGCACTGAGCACATCACAAAGAACGGCTATTTGTTTACTTCTGAATCCGATGGAAGCCAATATCCTTTGAAGTCTTTTCTCACCTCAAACTACATTAGAGATAGGTAGTAATTTTGGAAATTAAGGGTATCCATCCCTTTGGCTTCAAGCTCCTTTTAGAGAACTTGAAAAGAGATCCTCATCTCTTTCTTGTTGAAAATGAAGACAGAACAAGGGATTCAGTTACAAAAAGCATTGGCAATGGATACCTTCATGTTGCATAAAACATGTTACCCGCATTCAACATTTTTCTCTCTCACTGCAATTAGGGATAAAACCATGTCAAAATAAGTGATGGCTTGACTGGAAATTTTGTTCTTTTACATTTTATGACTGAGGAATAGCCTTTTTGTAGTTTCTCATCGGACATGATCAATATGATATAAGATTGAGTGAGATATGAGCTATCACCATCTGTTGCAGTCATCCTCATTATGTGAGGATAGTGTAGATTTGACAGATGATTTTTGCCCGATTATTCTAATTAATTTTGTAGTTGGCGAATTCTGTTATTCTCATATGCTATTATATGGTGATATCATATATCTTCTATTTTTGCAGTACTGGGAAAATAGACTGTTAAAAGCCAAGGCATTAGGATTAAATACCATTCAGACATATGTTCCTTGGAATCTGCATGAGCCAAAACCTGGAAAGGTTGATTTTGAGGGAATTGCCAACATTGAATCATTCCTCAAACTTAGTCACAAACTTGGTCTGCTTGTGATGCTTCGAGCGGGACCTTACATATGTGCAGGTAGCTGTAACTTTTAGGGCTATGAATGTACTTTTCCTGTGATCTTGGAGCTTCTCCAGTTTGCCAAAATGAAATTTGCTAATTTGCATGTTTATATTTATGGCTGATACTATTTTCACATTTGATTTATATCTCCCTTAATATGCTAAATGAGGAAAGAGGGCATATGTTTCCTGTTAAGTTTTCATCCTATTGTCTATTCCCTATAGCATGTGAGGTTTTCCTATTATCATCTTTTGGCACAAGTATTTCAATTTCTTATTCCTTATAAATGATTAAGAGAAGAAGAAAAGCATTTTCATTGCAAGTGCTTCTATAATGTGCCTAGAAAATGATGTTATCTTTTGATTTATTATTTCTCCTTGGATTGATTAAAATGAGGATCTTTGCAAGTGGCTTAGCAATGAAATGCACTCATAAGTCATGACCCAGTTGCTTGCTAGTTTTGCCGACACTTGACTATTGATTTATTGCAGAATGGGATTTAGGCGGTTTCCCTGCTTGGTTACTTGCTACGGACCCATCTCCAAAGCTAAGATCGTCTGATCCTACTTTTCTTAAACAGGTATGTTTTTCTTATGGAGTTAAGCCATGAATTCATGTTAGTTATTATTTTCTAGATTTAATATTTTATATGTTTTCAACAGGCATGTTTTTCTTATTCATTTCTTCATTCATTTCATTGGTAAATTTGGAAAGTGCAAACACAACTTTCTGATCCATCTTTCAAAATTTTTTTACTGCATGTCCTTCCTCATTTTCCCCTGTTCTTTTGGTTGACACCTTTTACAACATTTGACGTTGCTTTTCTATCTATACACTTACAGTATAAAATAATCTCTGACATATGAGAAATGCTGAGCCTCTTTTTCCTATCAACGCGTGCACTATGCTATTGCTATTTGTTTACCACATGAAGACTGTGCTGCAATTAAGGTAGCTTGAGGTTAAGGCAGCATGTCAACATGTAATCTTAAGATAAGTGAGCTGGGGTGAGAAAGTTGTGGCAATTGATAAAAGAATTCAATTTTCATTTGGGATGTTGAATGGCATACAATTGGAGATGCTATTTGTGAATTGACACTTCCCATGTCAAGACAGTGCTTGCCTGTTTTGGAGGTGTTGTTAATCTGCATGTGTTTGGTTGGTGTTTGTGAGTGCTGGATGAATATTTATGTCTCTGATTTTATCAACCCAAAGTTTGTATGCTTTGCTTGGGTGATATGCATCTTACCTTAGTCTGTCTGGGTTGGTTGAATTAATAGTGTGACTAAATGCAACCTACCTGGTGAAAACTTGAAATTCCTACTCAAAATAGCATTTAGTTGGTTTGTCTAGTCTTGCTCTATATGAATGTATATATAATGATAGAGAAGAAAATGATGGTGAATGGGAAGAGAATTGTAGGATATTATTAATTATTTGTAAATTAGGGAGTAAACTTAGGAAATATAAAAATTAAGAATTAATTTTATTTTGAATTTAATTACCCTTTTCTTAATTATTTTATTTACTTTTTGTTATTTTATCTTATTTGGATTTATCCCTTGGGCTATTTATAAAGGCTTGAGTTAGTAGGTTCAGGGGAGTCCTTATTGATCATTAAATAAATGTTTCTGATTCCTTGTGTCCACCCACTCTATTTTTTCTTTACCTTTCCCTTCTGCTTTTCTTTCTCCCTCCCCTTCTCTGTATTCATTACTACTGGTCCTTCATCAGTGACAGTAAATGATTTGATCCTTATATTGCACACCACCTTTTATCTTTTAGTTTCAAAATATGGCAAGTGGTTAAACTACACAACTCCCAGCAGTAAGCATTCACCTTTTCTGCAAAAACATGCATTTGGAAGGACCCTGACTTTTGAGGGCTCTGCATACAGCCTTTGCTGTCAGAAGTTTTGTTCACTTAGGTCATATATTAATAGACATTATAAAATTAAAAGGAGAATGTTATTTATGGTTCTGTTGTGATGGTATCTATTTACAGTCTTCTTGTGTCCTTATGCTTGATTATTTCAGCTTGTTCTTATCTTATAGTTCAATTTTTGAAGGTTGACAGATGGTGGGGCAACCTACTTCCAAAATTAGTTCCTCTCCTTTATGACAATGGAGGCCCTATTATAATGGTTCAAGTACGTTGTTTTCTACTTGACCTTCTTTGTTGCATTCATCAGATTGCCACTAGGCACCAAGATGTTTAAAAGCATAAAGCATTTAAGAATATACTGGTCACTGAAACAGAAAGCCTGTGTATTTTAGTCAGAAGTTGGAAGAATTTCCTTTTTTCATGTCATTTTCTCTTAAACTGTACTTATGAATACTCTAATATGCCAGCAATACATGTGAATAGTTGTTTGTTTGCATGCAATATTTTTCTTGTTATTGTGAATTCCTGAACATTAGCATCTTGTTCTTCCTGTTGGACTTCAAAGTTACAATAATTGTGTAAAAGTTTTAAGGAATTCTTTTATTTTTGAGATTTTGACGTCTTCTCTAGGAATCAACTAAAACGTTGTTCATCACAGATTGAAAATGAGTATGGTTCATATGGAAATGACAAAGCGTATCTCCATCACCTGGTCAATTTGGCTAGAGGTCATCTTGGGCATGATGTTATTTTGTAAGAGATTTATGCTTTTGAACTCTATTTTTCATAGTTATTGAACTATAGCGTCTGGGTGGAATATGATGGGAATGTTATAGAAGGAGATGTTAATACTGATTTTATAAACTGTTCTCTTCATATCCAAATGCAAACGGATCACTCTTTTAGCCAATTAATCAGTTGTTTTAATGCTCTAGTGCTGCGTCCTTATCTTAGGAAGAATCCTCAGGATTTATTTTTATTTTTATTTTTTACTATAGGGGCACAGGAAAACCATGCAAAAGAAATGGGTTTTATGCTGTTCTTTGTATGTCTCTTTGTCTATCTCAGCTTAATTTCCCTGTTAAACTGAAAATATGAAGGCAGAGAAAGAGTAAAAGTCAGTCAGTCGTCTTAGGTAAAAATAGAATGAAGAGATGAGAGAATTTCTTGCAATTATGAAGCTGGAGAGACAGAATAGCGAGTGAAAGATGTTAGAAAAATCTTCAAATTCCCGTCCAAAGCACATAATAATTTTGTTATTATTATTCAATAACAAAAATGAAATAATAATTACTAAATTAAAAAATTGTATTATAAATTTCCTTGTTTCACTTTCCTTCAGTTTTCACAATTATACCCTTCAGACATTATCAGCTGCTTCTTTTTGCTAGAGCCTTCAGTTCTGAATAGTTGTTTTATGGGCATCTTCATTTTTCATGTTTGTTATAGAAATACGTGTCAATGCATATTTTTTAGGTGATAATAAGAGGAGTCTCTTGCCTCTCTTAACTGTGGCATAATGGTTCATGCATGGCTGTCTATGGCTTGCAACTCTAGACAGGCTTTCAACAATTGCTTTAAGATGGTTTTGAGATGGTGTTCACTGTTCAATGAGTGACATAGCGTTCGGAATAATGTATCATTAACAATCCCGCACCAGATTGAAACTTTAAAAATGATCTAAAATCTTGTTTCTGTGAATCTTAATTGCACGTATTCATTGGTAGCACTCAGGATTAACACATTTTTCTTCTGAATGTTTATTTTCCTCCTTCTCTATAAAAATTTGTGTTCCACTGATTTCAGATACACTACAGATGGAGGATCTAGGGAAAATCTTGAGAAAGGAACTATTCGTGGGGATGCTGTCTTTTCAGGTATAAGCTCATATATTATAAAAGATGTTACTTTCAAGATTTTGTGGACATTTTTTCATTCATCTCTCTTCCCCCTCCCTCTTGTGTATATTCACATCTTGGCTCCTGTCATTCCCTGTCCACTCTTCCAACTTTTACCTGTTAGCAGGCATATCAACTGATACCCACAGAATCTGCATTAGATATGTTGCAAACAATCTAATATATATGCTCTTTTTGTAGCTGTTGACTTTAGTACTGGAGATGACCCTTGGCCTATATTCAAGCTACAAAAGGAGTTCAATGCCCCTGGAAAATCACCGCCACTCTCAGCGTATGTGCGTCTCATGCCTTTTATAGACACATGACAATAGTTACTAACACCTAAGAAACAACTGCCATTGACTATAACTAACTTCCATAACCCTATAACCACATTGACTACCGTTTCTTGTTCATTTGACTATTATCGTATCAATACTCCATCCCCCATGACCCTTGCCCTCAAGGTTCAAGGACAAGAAATTGTAATACATTCATTAAAATCATACTGGACACAAGTAGCATCTTCATCATCTTCCCTCTATACCACGTCAAAAGAAGAATTTGAGTAGGATTGCATTGCTCACACTTTAGCCATTGCATTCCAAATGCCTTGTCACACAAATGTAAGAGAATAAAAAGGCCTGTATTGATTTTCCTTCCTGGCAACTCTCCTGCGGACACTTTGCAGACTTCTTGAGTGGTCTTCTTATTCCCATCAGCTGCTATTGCCTTTTCCTCCATTGGGCAGTCTAATTTCTTGACCAATTGAGAGTCAGGCAATTCATGGGAACGTTGTTCTTTTTCAAGCCTATGTTTGTCCCTAACTTTTTTCTGATCATTACTCACTGCACAGCTGGTGAATGTCTTGTTAATTTCTGGATTTTCATGTTGGGGCGCCTTTTCCTCCCAAGAACCCATTCTTGGTACATTCTCCCCTTCTTCCCCCCACCCAAAAAAAAAAAAAAATATCTTGTTGATGAGTGCAAGGTAAATTCTTGGATTTTCATGCTGGTTGCACGCCTCATCAGTGGGATCATTTGTCTTGACATTCCCACTGCTGATTCTTTCATATCTTACAGCTTCTGTTCTAATCTTTACAATCTTTGCTCTCTAAGATTTGTAGTTTCAGGATGGTGGATCATAGCTTTGATACATTTGTTATGGAAGGAGATAAGAGGAGAAGATAGGAGAGAGAGGGAGAAGGAAAAGGAGAGGGCGTAGAGTAACAGAAACAAAACTTCAGTACTGTTTTACGCCAAAAGCCTGTATCAGAAAAGGACCCCCCATGCCTTTTATAGACACAAGGCAATGGTCACTAAGACCTAATGACCAACTGCCATAGACTAACTAACAGCCACAACCCCTATACCTTGGCTACCATTTCTTATTTATTTTATTATTATAATGTCATGTTATTTATTGGATGCTAAATACTGATAGTGCTTATCATGTCAGTGAATTCTATACAGGATGGCTTACACACTGGGGAGAGAACATAGCTAAGACTGATGCTGATTTTACAGCTGCTGCTCTCAAAAAAATTTTGCAAAGGAATGGTTCTGCAGTTCTCTATGTATGTCTCAACTTCCACCTTTTAGCTGTTACGGATATAACATTTAAATAATACTTTTGGCATGGCTGTTTTAATTTAGATGGTACATGGCGGGACAAACTTTGGATTCTACAATGGAGCAAATACTGGTCAAGATGAGGCTGACTACAAGGCTGACATCACTTCTTATGATTATGTCAGAAATCTTTGGACTGATCAATTCACATTGTATTGATTTTTGGTCTGCATATTATAATTTATTTGCCATGCCATCTTGTCCAGGATGCACCAATCAGGGAATCTGGAGATGTGGACAATGCGAAGTTCAATGGTGAGGATGTTAGTTTTCTACTTATTTTCAGGCTATCATTTATGCACTTTTTTAGTAAGCTAATTCTTTTTGTGACTACATGTCAAATGCAAACCTGAAGAATATGCGAAGAGAACAATATTTATTGAATCAAATATAGGCTAGATGTCCAGGCAACCCTACTTGGATTTCTGGATTAGTCCTGTAATTTATACCCAGTTCAGGGCATTTCAATGTGGTACATGCTTATGCAAGAGAAAGGACTCCTTGTCTTTCCCCCATGTAGTCTAAGACTTATAGATGTCATGCAACATTTTATTGTTACTTAGTATTAGTACAAGGATCTAATTGAGTCAACTGGTATTTTAAATAGATTGCATTGCAATGTAGTAGATCACGTCAATGAATGGTGATCCTTTTAGTTTTGCTATCTATTCGTTAGTGACAATATCATGCAGTGAACATGAGATCAGTATGAGCAAATGCATATCAGCCACATGGCACCTAATGAATGAAACTGGATTATTATGAATTATATTTATGAGAAACTTTGCGATACAACAATTTTTTGTTTTTTTCATTTTGTACTGGCTCAATTATGATGTATTTGCTGACATTTAATTATTTTCATGGTTTTTCTAATGATATTTTTACCCTAACTTTTCATAACTCTGTTATCCAAGCCATCATCCAAAGAAGATAATAAATTCGAGCTTGCTGTATATATTTCAGCTCTTCGGAAAGTTATAGCACAATATAGTTCAGCCCCTCTTCCATCAGTTCCTTCAGATAATGGAAAGGCAGGATATGGACCAATTCACTTACAAAAAAAAGCTTTCTTGTTTGACATGCTTGATTTAGCCAATCCCACCAACGTGACTGAATCTGAAAACCCATTGTCAATGGAGTCTCTTGGCCAGGTATGTGAGAGCTGTTCAAAATGATGCAATTGCTAAAAATATATTATTGAAACTGAATTACCTTGAATCCAGATGTTCGGGTTTTTGTTATATATGTCGGAATACACTGCTAAAGGAGGCAGAAGCAATTTATTCATACCTAAGGTGTTGGTTGTCTTCTTTCAGTAATTCTTAGTCTTGTTTTCTAATTATGCCTTTATTTTCATTAGTAATAGAGACAATGAAATCAATATTGGATCTCAGGTAAAGGTTATATGATTATATCCTTTCATTTTCTCTTTAAAAGCAAGATAGTTTACAGAATGTCTCATCTATACTTGTGTAAAGCTTATTAGGAATGTACAGGTGCATGACAGAGCTCAAGTATTTATCTCATGTCCTTCCAAAGAAAGTGGTCCATGGCCAACTTATGTCGGTGCCTTGGAGAGACAGATGAATAACAATCTCAGCCTTCCTGAAACTAAATGTCTTTCTAACATCAACTTATATATATTGGTATCTGCATCCTCCTCCTGGTTAATTTACTTTATTTATGCACAGAGTAACAGGGGAAACATTTTGGACTTTTGAGCTGCGTATACCAAGTTTAATTTACAATTTTTCTGTTTGTTAAATCAAATTCACCTGCTAGGTTATGAATCCATTGTTTCCGGGTCAGCTCCACCCTTTTGTGGATTAAGGAAGTGGCAGTGGATCATGAAGGTTCTTCGCACTTTTAACATGAGCTTGAATAGTCCTTCAATTAATATATAATTACTGGAATTGGAAGATCTGCCATCGATTTATATTTTCTCTTATGAGTTAATGTATAAAACATAAAAGCATAAACACTTAGTGACATGTATTAGAATTAAATCCCATGCAAACTTTGTGAAGTCGCTGGAGTAAAATATTTTACTTTATAGCCTAGTCAATTTCGGGAATTAGTTGTTGACCTGGCTTATTTTCAAGGGTTCATATAAGCTTGAATACATATTTGATTAATTCCTCAACATATGATTATGGAAGGCAAAGCAATAGTAAATATCAACATTGCAAGGACACACCTATAAACAGTGTTTACTTACTGTCGTTAACATTGTTTGGAAAATTGAATTAAATGTTTTTCTTCCCCTCTTTTATAGGTTGAAAACATGGGTCATGTAAATTATGGTCCTTTCATCTTTGACAGAAAGGTAAAGGTTATTTGAAGATACAACAATTAAAACTTTGATTGTTCTCGGCTGATTTTTTTTGAACTTCTACACAGGGCATTCTGTCTTCTGTTTATCTTGATGGGGAAATTTTACATGGTTGGAGAATGCTCCCGATTCCTCTTCACAACCTGAATGAAGTTCCAACTTTCAATCCAATAATGCAGGCTGCTTTTTCAACATTCAATAGAATGTTGATGCATCGCAAAGAGTTAATATACAAGTCTGGTAAGTACTAAGATGTTCATTTTTCTGAATATTGAACTCAAGTATCACTTCTTAGGGTTGTAATATCAAATCTGTAACCAAGGCTATTCTTTTGGCAGAGAATACTTCGCATGCACCTGCTATCTATTCTGGTCATTTCTCAATTGATAAATCGAAACTCATCAAGGATACATTCATATCATTTAACAACTGGGGCAAAGGCATTGCATTTGTCAATGAATTTAATTTAGGGAGATATTGGCCGGTAAAATAGCTTCTCTTGTCTCTTGGACGTGTTTTGTTTGTGATTAGATCACATGGCTGTATAGTTTGTTCTCTATATTTATGGTTGTTTTTTCTCTTAAAGTATTAACACATAGTTTTTTAATAGTTGAGAGGACCTCAGTGCAACCTCTATGTTCCAGCACCGCTCCTCAAGCAAGGGGATAATATCCTGGTATGACCAAGCAGGAACTATTAATTGTCTTTAATATCGAGATGTTCACCCTGGGTTAATTCATTTGAGACCAGAATTATTTTACAAATTAATAATTGAGTATTTTATGGAAATTCACTTGTCTTTCTTGAATTTAGCTTGAAGTCTTACTTTTGTAAATTGATGCACAGGTTATACTTGAGTTGGAATCTCCAAACCCTGAACTTGTGGTACACTCGGTCAATGAGCCAGACTTCACTTGTGCCTCGACCCTCAAGTGAGAGGAAAGTACCAATATGGGTCCAAAGTTAATGTGAGGGAGCTATTTAGTTCAGATAAACAAATATCACATTGGATAAGTTGAAATTATGTGTGTAATAAATGGAGGGTAATATCTTTGAAAAGGATCTCAATTCTTCCATTGTTATATTGTTGCACAAAACAGCATTTATGAACTCCTGAAACAATAGTGTGGTACAATCTTTGTATAATAACGACACATTCCTGATTGTTCTGATCTACGGACATCACTTTGGAAAAGCCTTGGTTTGTAAAATTTTGCGTATTTCGTGAAGCCTGTATCTTTGAAAAAGATCTCCATTCTTCCATTTCGTTGTTGCATACAGAAGTAATATTTATATACTCATGAAGCTATCCTGTAATACAATCTTACAAGAACAGATATTGCTAATTATCATTAACCTGGAATCCTTCATGTACAGTTTGAATGAGGAAAAAAGTGACTTGTTTCTCCATGTTGGTAACGAAACATACTTCACAACAATGTATTGATAATTTGCTGAGGCAAGCCAATAGCATGTGTCAAGAAAATGATCCCATGTAATTGCTAGTGAAAACATAAAAGCAGCTTACATTCTGCCTGCACAGAGGATGTGTCAAACAATACCCTTTTTTTTTTTTAACCATAAGTCAAACAATACCTTTTAAATACAACACGACGGAGCAGAGATTTAAAAATAAGATCTCCTGGTGCCCTTACTACTTTCAGCTGTTTATAAACTAGAAAACAATCAAAACCCCTAAATTTCTTAGAGGAAGAAAACAATGTTCCCCCTGAGTGCTTATTGCATCACTACCCATTCAGACTACAACAGCAAATACAATACAACATCTCTGTTCCCATAAAACTCCAGGAACAGGCAACTAAGCTACATAATTTTTCCAGCAGACAAAACATCAGCTTCCACCAAAAGAGAGACAAAATTGTAGATATCATTTCGGAGTGCTTTGAGAAACATCTTTCTGGTCCTGTTTTGACCCTGCTATAGCTGCAGTTGCTGCTGCAGTCATGGCGGCAGCGGCTACACCCATCTTAGCACCACCTGCAGCCTTCATTACCCCTGCTATTTTAGCAAAAGCTGCTACACCTCCCACAAGTATAGCCCTCAATGCAACCGTTGGTTTTACTGCCATACCTCCAAGACTACCTGCAATTTCAAGACTCATCAAATGAAGTCCAGCATCCAAACCATCTGAATGCAACAGATCCATTGCCATTTCTTATAACCAGCAACATCTACAATCTAATAGCATTGTATAGCCCTCGAATACTTAAATTGTTGAAAGACTCTTAAATAAGCTCAGTTTTTTGGGGGAAATTGGCAGTAAAGTCCTATGTTTATAGGTATAGAAATCAACCAAAAAATTTCTCTAAAATTCTTGATTTGCTATACAAACCTCAAAAGAAAGCGTGAGATTTATCCCCTGCACTCTCCCCCCTCCCCAAAAAAAAGGAAAAAAAAAACACTGTAACCAGAGATGATGTAGCTCACTAGAAAATATCCTTTTAGTTGATTTGGAATTCGAAGCAAAGATTACATACTTTTATTGGGCAAAAAGGGTGTTCAAGAATTTTATCAAAAGAAAGAAAGAGGGACGCATGATGTAATAGACCAATTAGAGTATTATGGAGCTTTCTATGGTATATATTCTAACCAAACAATTTACATCATCCACTCCAATTGAGCTTGTGCACAATGATCGAAATAAAAGCAGACCTAAACCAAAAAGAAACTCACAGAAGAACTATCCTCTTGACAAGGTGGTGGTCATAATATTTTCTAAATACAGAGGTTTGAAATATTTGTCTTCAATATCTGTAAATTTTGAAGAACAAAATTTTCAACAAAGATTTCAGTTTTCTACTGACTATGCCAATAGAATGGGTGCTTTAAAATTCCAGGGTTTACCAGCATGTAAATAAACCGGTAACCTTTGGGTTGAAAGAATGAACTATGAAAGGTTGCAGTGAAAATATGAACTTTTTCAAATTAATATTTCCAAATATCAGGACCTTGTGTAATCTGGGATATAGGCCCTTATCTTCCTTAAAATCTTGAGACTACATTCAATGAGCTATGACATCCACCCCTACGGTTAAAGTTACCCTGAATTTGATCTCTTTGAAGTTACCCAATAATGTCTTATCATCATAACTTCGCAGTCCAATGTTTAAGGTTCAAACGCCTCAGGAACCAAGCTATTTGGTGGGGCCTATAGGTCAGAGACCGCTTCAGATAAAATTTATGTCATTTCCATACTTCTGGGATATAGAAACTTTTGCAAATGTCTCACTTCTTCTGAGAGCTTTTGCAAATAAAGGGATCTGATTCTCCTTAAACTCATTCATTGGTCAATGGTGATTGACCGTGGATAATCGTTAGCCCAATGTTTGAGAACATGCCAATCTTATGGATGAAATGAAGGAACAACCCCTCATAAATCTGCTAGTAGCATGTCTGCAGTCTCGAAAATTCTAGGGAGGAAGATTTTACATATCATTTGGCACGAAGTGGAAGATCGAGCAGCTTAAACTGCTCCTGACTGTATTATAGATTGATGGCACTCAAATGTACATAAGCAGTTGTCAGATTTTACCTCTCAAGAGAAAAGAACCACTAACAAACTTCATAAAATAGCTCAAAACATAGAATCAAAAACAAAAATTTCCCCCACTGCATATGTCTCTCCTGATTAAATTCTCAAACAAATATTTTATTCTCTTAACTTGTTTTCATTCTTAGCCAAAGAATGGGACCATTCTCAAAGAAAAATTACAAGGAAAGAAAACTAGGGTGGGTATATTACACAGCAATGTCCAGTTTCAGAATTCAGAAGCAAAAAAGCATACCAATTCAATACGGAAAGTGCAGCAGAATAGCGCAGAAAATGGGAATTAAACCTGAGACGCAGCGAAAAAAGAAGATTTTTCAAGGATTGAAGGTTTGTGATAAGAGAACTAAATTGGAAGGGCCAATGAGACAGGAAGCCGCGAATTTAAGGCACGCCGATCCTTCCTTCTTCCTCGGAGCGAGAAATAAGGTTAGAAGTTGTCCAGGGATCGGACTCCATGCGGCATTGCGGCTTCATCTCACGACGTCGTTCTACCACCTTCTTCAACCATGCCTGATTTGGTTTGATTTTTAAAAAATTATTTTTTTATGTAAAAATATAAAATATTTTTAATTAAATCTTATTTTTTAATAAGATAGTTATTTACTTGTAAATTAATCTTATTTTTTTATATTTATTTTTATTAAACACCTTATAAAATATATAAAATTTCTATTAATAAGAGCACTTTAAAAAAATAATGATTACATCTTAAAAGATTAAAAATATTTTATATTTTTTAACATTTAACTTTTTAAAAAATATCTTATATTTTTGAACGGAGGAAGTATACCAAACCAAATCAATTAATTTATTATAATTTGGGATCTATTTAATTTTTTTAATCAATTTGGTTTGATTTGATTTAGTTTTAGATTAAGTTTAAATTTTTTTAATGAAATATTTCTCTTAATCATTAATATATATTGATGCTCATTGACAATTTTTAAATATTAATTGTTATTTATAATAAAAAAACTCTTGAATACAAAAAATATTTCTTAATAATTAATTAACATATTTAACTATAAAAATTAATGCATTATCTTTAAAATACTTAATTATAGAATTTAACAATTATCTTAAACAATTATCAATAATATTTAGTTAAGTTTAACTTATTTTTATTAATGATTTATAAATTATTAAACTTAAAAAAGGTAATTTTTTTGACAAATTTATAAAAATATACATAATAAAAATAATGAGACTTGATTTGGTTTGATTCAAGTTTTTAGAAACAAAGACTTGAACCAAACCTCATTTATAATCAATTTTAGTTAGTTTATATCAATTTAGTTTCATTTCATTTGGCATAATCGATTTGAGTTAATTTTAAATATCCTTGTATGGAGTCAACCCAGGGAATTCGCCTACCGCAAGATCGGGTTAAGAGAATGATTTCATTCCTACCTTCGAAAGCGGTTACTTCCTCAACCGACTAAAGGTATAAGGGCGATGAAAGCATTTTCTAGACATCATGTGGAGAATCATTAGACGCTTTCGTTCTTCTCGTGATCGGAGTGCCGAGGGGAAATTCCTCAACTTCACAGAAAGAGAATCCTCATTCTTTGAAGATGTATTAATGTGAAGAGAGTCCCCAGAAGAAGCCAATGAAGAGGGTGATGCTGAGGTTGACGACAGAGGCAGCCTGGTTTTCAAATCTGCCCTAGTATTGAGTTCAGTTTCTTGCTTCCCTTCTGTGCTTGCCTTAACCTAGTGCTACGTCCTATTCTAACTCTTTGCCATACCATTGCTCATGGAATTGTTGAATTGATTTCCTTCTTATTAGTTCCAGGGAGAGAAGAGAGAGAGGTGTAACTCAGCCCTGAAGCCTTTCATTAGGTTGACTTTGCTTTCTTCTTAGTCTTCTGTCTAGTGGTGGAAGGCATGTCTGGGAATCAATCCTCGTATAATAGGGAAGCCGGCCTTTCTTCTTTCCTTCAAGTGGTGAAATGCCTATCATAATTGCTGTTGCAGGAGCGATGTCAAAGTCAAGCCCATGATACAACATTTTGAAGTAAGAAAGCAGTTGATAACAAAAAGTTAACCCCCGGCCGGACTTGGTAGGGTAGGAGCCGAATAGAAGGCATAAAGTCAGAGAAATGAGCAGGTAAAGAATAAAGAGATTGAAAAGATGAGATTCATGTATTGACGTAATCTAGTAGACCCTTAAAGAACATCCAAACCTAGAAACAAGAGCATGCCCATCAAACTAAAAGAATTGATGAATAGGAGGTGGGCTAAGCCCGAATAGCTTCCTCAAAAGCATGATGTAGCGACTTACTATGAATAATGCGAGCTAGCATTTGGGGCTAATGTCTATAGATGTGATACCTCCTGGTTAGAGATTAAGAATTGTTGTTATTGGATCTGATAATAAATGTATGCTTAGTAAGGGGCTGCACTTGCTTGCTTTTAGTATTAAATTCCTCTTCCACCCGAGCATTTATTGCTTTCTTTCTTGACGAAGGAATTGATAGAGGCGAAGAAAAAGAAGTGAAATCTTGACCAGTTCGTATAGAAGTCAAGGGAAGAGTTTCAAGGAACCAGCTCCTGGGGACTTCTATTAAGAACGGCTTTAGGTCTTAGTATGTGGTACAGCATATAGAGTCATGAGACGCTCTACTTCCTCTTGTTCGGTTATCAATTCGCTGGCTGTTTCGGGGGAAAGGGCTTGCCCAGATGCTTTACGAGACTGAAAGCTTCATTTTGTGTTCAGTTGCGTTATCTACCGCAAAGAAGGACTCCCCTTTTCTATTAGAACAGTGTTAGTTTGCTATTACTGCCAGTCAAGCCGATGAGAATTCTATTTTAATATTGCTATATGCGCCACTAGAGCTTTGATCATATTCTTTGAGCCGAGTCGATGAGTTTGAATATTCATTCGTGTACATATGCCATGTAGATTGAAAAGGGAGAAGCCCTCACTGACGGAGTATAAATAGCACACTAGATGGATCATTCAATAGAAAGCTAAAGGCGAAGAGTTAACACCTCTAAAAGGTTAGGTGAGAGAAAGCATCCTTTGTTGATACCTAGTGTACACTGCCACATACTGAAATGGATTAATAAACATTGCTTTGTTCACTACGAATAATTCGATCTTGAGAAAGAAGGCCTTGTGGGGAATCTCCAGCAGCGCCAAAGAAGGAAGATGGAAAGTCATCTTTGTAGACTCACACCACTCACTTATAGGTTTATACACAAGGGGGTTGTATTGAAGGGCCATAAGCTTTGAATCAGTATGCGTTAGTTCCAATCCGAATCTCGTTGTTTAGGTATCGAGATGATATTCAGGAGACAAAAGAGAAAAGCTGATAGAAATGCTGATTATAATGGAGATACTAATTCTTTAATAAAGACTTGTGCCCATTGTCCAAGATTCCTTTATAGGACTTTCTTTTTCTTCTTCTTGACTTGACTCAACAACCCTCCCATTTAGGACAAAACTCTAAAGGTCTCTCTGAAGATTCAAAATATAGAAGAGCGACTGCCAATCAAGACAATATTGAAGCACATGCCTTAGGACCGATCCTAGTGAAATAGGAAAATAAATCCGCACACTACTAAGTTTCCTTCATCGATCGGAACAAAACTAGCAAAAGAAACTTTAAGGGAGCTGCACTATACATAATACAAAGGGACCCAAGTTCTACCCGAATGATGCGATCACCAACTTCTAGTACCCAAGCTATGTGATCAATAACTATTCCCCTAAAGGCGAATCCCTCAGGGCGCCCTAAGCAACCAAAGGGTAGAGAAAATGAAGAATAAGGGTAATCTACACATATGGCTATACCACCAAAAGGAAAAAGAGGACTAATTGATACCAATAGCAAGATACACATCTTTTAAGACTCTGAGGGGTGAGAATAGTTGAAGATCAGAAGATTGGCTTTAATAGATTAAGTGCAAACTTTTATTTATATATTTTATATGAGTAAGCCCCTTCCCTTAGAAACAGATTTAATATTATATTTTTTTATTAGAGACGCTGAATTACATGCCACTATATACAACTTCATAAGTTATAACAAATTTTCCTAAGACTAAATTTTAGTCTTTTAACTTCATATAAAATTTTAATATAATTATTTAATTTTTAATTTTTTTAAATTTTTTAATTTTAACATTATTAATTTTAAATAATTATTTTTTGTATTAATTATTTTTATTTCTTAAAAAATTAAACTTAATATGTTAACATTTAAAGATATTTTATTAATATTTAAAAGTTAAATGAATAATTTTTTTATGATGAAAATGGCAATATTAGAATTAAATAATTGAAAGAACATTTTATAAAATTAATGGATCAAAATAAAATTTTATATAAAATTAAAAAAGTAAAAGTATATTTAGCCTCTTTCTAAACATGTTTCATGCTGGTAAATAATAGTAAAGAGGTAGTATAATCAAGTCTTTTATTTTTAAAAAATTAATCATTTAATCTTTATAATTTTAATTTAATAATAACTACTAAATTTTAACTAACTGTAATTTAGTCATTGTAATTTTAGTTTAATTATAACTCAATAATTGAATTATGACTCACCATAACTCAATTTATATAATTTTAGTCATTTGAAATATTAATCTTTATAGCTTGAAAATAAAACTTTAAAAATTAAAATTATGCTCACGTTTAGGTACTCATTTTAAATTCTTTTATTTTATTTTAAAATTAATAGAATTGATAAATTGGTAATATATATATATATATATATATCACAATTAAGTAAAAGAATCCATGTGTTCCTATGAAATTTAAGATTATATATTTTTTAATTTTACAAAATTAAAATATTAACCTTTAATGGTTACTGTTCCTTCATTCTGCTAAACAAATTATTACGTTTTAGACTACATTTTAAAATAAAATAATTATTATATTATATGGTATTATAAATTTATATTTTTTTTTCCAACAACATAAATTTATAATTTAGAAACAAGAAAATGTTGATTTTTAAACCATATAATAATAAACAGTCTAAAATAGATGGTTATCCACATCTCATTAAATATCGTTCCATTTTCGTATCCTGGTTCTTCCTCACCAAAGGGTGAAGGAAGAAGCGTTTTTTGTGTTTTGAGTCCCCCACACGGAGCGTTGCCTGCTTGGACTTAGAGCTTGAGGGGAAATGGAGTACAGTGGAGGAGGAAACTGGACTATGATCCCGACTCACAACTCCAACCTTACGCAATCCAACCAGGACCCTCTCTTTCTCCATCAACAGCAGCAATTTCTACAGCAGCAGCACCAAACCTTTCAACCTCAACCTCCGCAATCTCAATTTCCACCACCACAGCAGCAGCAGCAGCGTCTTCTCCAACATCAGCCGCAGCCGCAGCTCCAGCAACAGCCGCCGCAACAGCAACAGAATCCTCACCAGTCCCTAGCTTCTCATTTTCATCTCTTGCATGTAAGCCTTCTAAACCCTAATTTTCCTTCGGAGCGATTTTAATTTGGTCGTTTGTACTTGTTTTATTTCAATTTGATCCCTCGTTCATTTAAATGTTTTCTATGATACTTGGTCTACAGCGATTAGGAACCTAATTTCGTGAAATTCACAATATTTTGGAAGTCATGTGATTTTTCAAGAATGGCAATATCATTATTCTTTTGACTTCTTGAGGGATTTCTTTGTTATGGGCATAGTTGGTGGAGAATTTGGCAGAGATTGCCGAACATGGGACTAGGGATCAGCAATCAGATGCATTGGTTAGTTCGTTCCCCTCTTACATACACAATTTTGTAAATTTCCTGATACTTATTGTCGAATTTGACTATGGATTATCGAATATCAGCCTTTACATTGCGTTTTTTAACGACTTTTAATGACTTGTTTTTTTTTTTAATTAATGAAAGATTAATGAATTAAGCAACCATTTCGAGAGGTGCCAGCAGTTGTTAAACTCAATTTCAGGCTCCATTAGCACCAAGGCCATGGTAATTAGCATCTCTATATCTATAATTTGCTTCTATCTTTATTTTTAGTATGGTATATTTTTTCCCATTTTGCTTTTTTTTTTTTTTTGGAAAAATGACCGTTAGTTGAGCCCTTGAGCTAAAAATTAACCATTTCAACACTGTGCAGAGACTGGGTGGTTATGCTTTAGATCTATAATTTTCCCTCTAATTAAATGTATTCATCTTTCTGTGGAATAATATGTGGTAGTTTTATCCAGCATAGATTATCGGGGCTGAGTTTCCCTTTCCATTTTCATTATATGGCCCTGCTAATAAGGCCATGATGAGCTAATTCCATATTGAATTTGAAGAAAGAAAGGAAAAAAGAGAAAATAAAAGATTCATCTACTGTTTAAATAAGACTGTTCAAAAAAATAAAAGGTTAAATCTTCAACTGTTATTTTCTAGTAGTTAGTGGAAGTGTTCTCGATCTGAAATTAGGACTTTATGGATGCCTAATGCAGACAGTTGAGGGGCAGAAGAAGAAGCTAGAGGAAAGTGAGCAATTGCTAAATCAGCGAAGGTTAGTGGTGGTAATTGTTTCATGCATCTTTCTCTCCGATATCTTTTCGCTAAATTCATGCCTCCCCCTTTTGTTTGACATACAGAGACTTGGTTGCCAAATACCGAAAGTCTGTGGAAGATCTTGTTAAATCGGAGCCGTAAGTTCCTGTCAATCAAATGTGTAAGGAACGTTACGTAGATTAATAGTTTTTTTTTTTTTTTTTTCCTGAAGTTGAGATTGACTAGAAACGTCTGCAGTTATCTTTATTTAAATTGGATAAATTCAAAATGAAATGTCAGTGAAGATGACCAAGTGCAGGCTCAGGGGACTTGATAGCATTTTCCTTGCCAAAATTGGAAAACTCAATTATAAATGCAGCCTTTTTTTTTTTTTTTTGGGTAGCAATTATGAATGCAGCTTTATTGGTCCATATGTCATTCAAGCATGTTACTTAACCATATTTGCAACTATCCGTGGTTTTGGAGCTAATCACATAAGCATATTCAAGAGGCATGATAACAAGCAATGCCCCCTGTTTTAGAAACCAAGAGCCCGAGTTTCAATAGGCTAATTGCCTTAAATTAGTTCATAATTTTTTTTTTTGATCGAATAATTTAATTGATATATTGTTTTTGCTTTTAAACCTTCTAGTAAATTGAACAATATCCTTTCCCCCATTAGCTTGCTGGTTTCATTCACTAAAATTTATTTTAAACAACCAACTAGTACAATGCACACGAACTCACATGTACGCAAGCTAATAATGGTAGGACATGACTGCGTATGTTGTCTGCACAAAGGTGAGCATGAGAAGCATAATTGCAGCAATTAAAGAGATGATGGCCCATGGATTACTAAAATATTCCTCTTTCAAAGTTGCCCTCCATTTATGCCAAGTCACTGTATAATACTGATTCAGCTTCTCACATAGGTCTGCGAAGTAAAATGTTCTTCTTGCCATGATTACTCCTGGGGAAAGATTGTTGATTGCAGAAGCTACTTCTTGACTTCCTGATAACTTGGATTCAATAATCCCATTCTCAGTGAGCAAATCCACATCACCAGGTGTGTCCACAAGACTGTCGAGGACAAAGACATAGTCATTCACATAATTATCATGCGAGTGGCAATATTCATATGCAATGAGATTTCTCAGAAGAATATCCAGGGTATCTTTCATTGTGAAGTATGGAATCTCCAAGACTCCATCTTTGAATGTTATATCAAAAATGCTCCCATTTTTCTTCGCCTTGAACTTGACTCCAGCTTGGTGTAACTGTGTTGCAGTGGGCATAGTGAAGGACTTTGATTTATTTTTGGATGGCATCTCTTGGGGCAAATAACAAATTCTGGCAAAATGAACAAAATGATGTATTTCCGTTCGATCCAGTTTTCCCTCAACATTGAAGTTATCCATATGCAACAAATAATCTAATTTCTTTCTGAAGAACTCACAGGTCAGCTTGACTGCTAAACGTCGAACATCATCTTTTGTGGGAATGTCTGATTCAGCTAATGAAAGAAGATCCTCAATGATGAAGAAAGGAACTTGATTTTCAAGTAAAATCATATCATTTTTGATGAAGTATAGCTTCCTGGGGCTTCCAAAGAAATGATCATGCTGATTCCGCAACTGGTGATTGCCAAAGCTATTCCTAAAGAATAGTTCGAGAATGAAAGTTGCATCTACCAGGATGATCTCAATAAACTTGTCACTATCAAATTCAATGAGATCTGCATAATAACTTCGTAACATCTCTTCTTTGCCCTTCAATAGTTGTACACAGTCCTCTAGGCTTGCCTGAGTACGTGATAGGAAGTCTTTTAGGTATCTCATTTTGTGTTCTTCCATGGGCTTAAGCTTTGGACTGTTGTGATGGAGTGGACCAATTGAAATAACTTGAGGAGTGAAGGCCTTTTCCTTTCGTTCACGTAGTTGTGGAGGAACTCTAAAAATGCTACATTTATTATGGGACAATGGAGAAAGCTTCTCCAATTTGTCCTTCAATTTGGCCAGTGAATCTGACAGCACATTTTCCTCGATGGTGATGTGTTTGCAATTGCATCCTTTGTTTCTGTCATGTTTTTCCTCCATTCTTTATCTCCAAATTTTGAATAAAGAGAGCAAGTTGAATCTTTGATAGCTGCTTAAGGGGAAAAAAAAAGAAGGAAAAGAAAAGCTATCTTATTAGTATAATTCGTTGGTTATGTTTTCAAATAGAAAATTTTTAGATAGGCCTGATATATCACGTCAACCCTGATACATCCTATAAAATTTCACTAATTCAATTAAATAAAATTTTATGTGTTATTATTTTTAATAAATTTTTTATAATAAAATACCCATTTAATTTTTTATTTTTCTTCCTCTATTATTATTAATATTATAATTAATTTATAATTAATATTATTTAAATATCATGTTTTTATTGGATAAATAATGGATGTCATGTTGTACAAGGTCTATCTAAATGTTTTTTTCCAATATGCAATTAATGGATATAGATTGAAAAATATGCATAAAGGGAATATAAATATATATATATATATATATATATATAAAATTACGGGAATCGGCTCTGGAAAGCATCACCGGACTAATTGGATGCCACATATTGACAATGCAAACAAATAAAAATCAGTTGTGGAAATAAAAGGACCTAAAATAAATTTAACCTTTATACTTCTTCCGTGATTTGATGTTGCTCTCGAATAAAGGTATGTCAGAATTGGCCAATATTAAAAATTCGTTGTCCAAAATAGTTTTTTTTTTTTTTAAAATCTATATATGCCTCTTGAGCTATTCTCTCTGCGCTCTCCAGGCTCCGGTGTAGAATTGAAAATTCTAGTCAATTTATTAGTAAACTAATAAACCATTAAATGAAATACCCCAACCGTCTCTGTATATAGAAAATTTTTAATCAAATCTCATATATTAATAAAAATTTATTATTTAATTAAAATTACATAAAATTACAATAATTTTTTAATTTTATCTCTAATAATATCATAATTGATATTATGGTAATAGTAGAAAAAATACATAATTATTGATCTATTTTATTTTTTAAAACAGGGTAAAATTCTGTAAGCTCTCAAAAAGATTATTGACACCCCTCATATTTAAGAACAAAATAAGTTTTTAGAAAAATTCTTATGTATAGGGATGGAGGGAGTATTTATTTACATGATTCAATTATGATTTTGATTATTAATTTTTGAATCAGTCTCTTAATCAGTTGATTAATGGGAGAATGACAAAGAGATTTTAAAAGGACCAATTAATTTAAGTTAGGTCCCAAATGCCAAAATTCAAAAATTTGTAAATTCATCTTTTAATTTTACAACTGCATTGTGATGAATTTAGAACTTGTTTTTTAAATTTTAACATGGCTGAAAAATAAAAAAAAATTCATTTTACCTATCAAAATTTGAAATACAAGTTACAAATTCATCACAACATAATTACAAAATTGAGAAATTGAGTTGTAAATTCTTAAAATTTGATAGTTGAAACCTAACTTAACTTAATTAGTTATTTTGGAACCTCTATGTCATTTTTCCTTGATTAATTTGTCTGCCTTGATTCCTGGCCATTCCAAGGGTCAAGGGAACTCTGGTTCCAAGCAAATCCTCTCCAGTACTAATCAGACAAGTTAAAATTTCGACTCTACCCTCACTTCCACTTTCACAGGGAGAGTTTCATCATGCCAAACAAACGCAGCATAAATTCTAAGTTCCATGACAGTCACTCTTCTCCAATAGAACTTATTAAAACAAATGAAGTTAAGAAAATAAAACTTTAGGTGGAATTAAAAAATGTTCACCCATTTTAAAGTAGGCAAAAAGGATAATTCGTAGAACTTGAACTCATCATAATCATAAATATGAGAATCACAAACAATGTGTGTGAGGACAGAGGAGCGAAATAGGACGGAATTACAGAAAAAATAATAAAAGTGCAAAAAGCTTACAATTTGTGAATTTGAGAGGATGAGACTGAAAAACCAGAAATGACGAAATGGCCTTGTTCTTTCAAACTTAGGTTTTACAACCTAGGTTCATCCCCTCCCTGTTATTTGTAATGTCCCGATAACTTATTTTGTAAAGTGAATTGGTGGAATTTATACTTGTTTTTTCATTTTTACGCAATGAATTTATGCCTTTTTTTTTTAATATTTATCCAAGGAATTTATGCTTCTCTGCCCTTCATTGATTCTGATTTCAAAACTTTTGTGCCCTAAGGAGAATTTTATTCTTTTCTCAACAGTAGATATGATTATTCCCACAAATATATAGGATCATAGTAATAAATTACCTAAAGTATTTCAAGTGTTGAACCTATAGAGAAATTGTACTTTTACTAATTTAAATAATTAATAGTTTAAAAAAATAGATAAAATGAATTATTTGATAAGAATGTAAAGAATGAAAATAAAGCAAAAAGATAATGATGAGGAAAATGCAATCACTTGAAGTGTTGGGATTCATTATTCACCTTGTATGTTGCTAGTTTTTACTATTTGAGTTAACTCTTTGAAAAATTATAATGACAATTATTCCTAAAATGTCATAATATTCTCCTAAATTATTAGTCTATTTTTAATTAGGGTTGAATTCATTCTCACGATATTCAAATAATTAAATAAATTGTGAAGCTATAGTTTAAGTCACCACAAATTTTTAAAATTATCCCTAATCTAGTTATTTATGTTTATTTCTCTAGATTTAGATTTTCTTTTCACCTCCCAGTCCAATAAGATCATCCATAGATTTAATTAAATGTTGGCTAGTCATAAAATCAACATGAAAAATAAAAAAATTAATATAATTGAAAATAAATAAAATATATAAATATAAAAAAAGCAAAGAGTCAAAACAAAATAAATAGAAAACTAGCTCCTTAATTGGGCTACATCTCTAACCCAACTAAGTTATTTAAAAATATATAGTAAAATTAAATAACTGCATTATAGAATTCCAAAGACAATTAAGGAATAGAAAAAAATAATTATGATATATAGAACTACTCAACAATCCCACTCTTAACTTTCAAAATCTTTTTTCGAGCTCTAAATATCTTAGAAAGAATTTTTAAGGTATTCATATAAGTGATTGAATGTCTTTGAATAAAGTTATGAGCTCTTATTTATAATATTTTGCGATACTATTTCCTAATCCTTCTAAAATTTCATGAAACATTTTAGATTTGATATTACTTAAAATATTATGGCTGAAGTATACTTTTAGTCATTTAACTTTATATAATATTTTAATTTGATCCTTTAATTTAATTTTATAAAGTATTTTTTAGTTCTTTAACTATAATATTGTTAGTTTTAAACAATTATTTTTTTTTGTGTCAATCATTGTTATTTTAAAAAAATAAATTTAATATGTTAATATTTGAAAATGTTTTGTCAATATTTAAAAGTTTAATGTAAAAATTTATTGTAATAAAACTAAGAATATTAGGATTAAGGACTAAACAGACACTTTATAAAATTAAGAAATTAAATTAAAATATTATGTAAAGTTAAAAGACTAAAAGTATACTTTAATCAAATATTATCTTCTTTTTAAACTAATTCTTGTGCTCCCTCCTATGTGTGCCTCTTCAATGCATTTTTCCTTTTATATGATTTTCCTCTTTTCTTCAATATCTTTTATAATATTTTCTATTTAATTTTAAAATATACACTTATTAAATTTCTCCACACTTAGCTTGTTGCTTATTCTTAAGCAACAATTTTTACTTTCAGCTTTATTTTTTAAATAAGTATATCAAATACGAGACCTTTGCTCAAAGCACAGGTAAAACTTAACCATGCAACCATTGAGTTTTAATGTGAGAGAGAAAACTAATAATTCTATTTCTGCACCACATGGAGTGAATTGATGCTTTTTTTTATATTTATCCAAGGAAGGAATTTATGCTTGTCTGCCCTTGATTGATTTTGATTTCAAAACTTTTGTGCCCTACAGAGAATTTTATTCTTTTTTAGTGTGAGAGAGAAAGTTAATAATTTTGTCTGTGCACCACATGAAGTGAATTTAGTTTTGATCGAGTGAATTTATACTTTTTTTTATATTTATCCAAGGAATGAATTTATGCTTGTCTACCCTTGATTGATTCTGATTTCAAAACTTTTGTGTCCTAGGGAGAATTTTATTCTTTTCCAAATAGTAAATACTTTGAAAATTTGGTTTGATTTTACCGTTTAGGTATAAAATCTAAATAAGACAAACTGAATATATATATATATATATATATATTAATGCTTTATGCATGGTAAAAAAGAATTTGAGTTGTGTACAAAATCCTCTTCAATTATTTTTTAACATGAATTAACTTATTTATACTTGAGAAATGGTTAAAAAAAAATAGACCTAATACATACATACATATTTATATATCATGAAATATTAATCTTTTATGTCTTGAAAAATTAATTTTAATGGAACAAAACACAACGAAAAGAAATGGTAACTAGTTTAATATTATGGGGCTTTTCTAATTTCTTCTCGTAATTCAAAATATTTGAGAGTTGAAATGCTTTTAATATGATATTTTTAAAATAATTATAAAAAAACTCCTCGTGAAAACAGAGAAGAAGAAGAAGAGCCAAATTAACTTAACCAAATTGAAATATTTCACTTGAGCTCGGTTAAAACTTAAAACAACAATAATTTCAGTTTGAAGCTCTGAAATTGGGGAGAGAAGAGATTGTAATTGAACAATATTGATCTCCAAGCATGCTTGAAGGAGGTTACAGGATTAAATTCAGAACATTAATTGCTATAGTAGCTAGTTTCATTAACTCTTAACATGCGCATTATGGTTAACTCTTCGATATCAAGATACCTAAGAGATGCATGACATTCATGAGTATCATACTCAGCTTAATACTCCTTCCGTCCTAAATTATATGGCATTTTTAAATAAATTTTTTTATCCAAAAATATAAGACATTTTGGGTAAATTAAGGTTTCATTAAATATATCAATTATAATATTAACCTTTCTCTCTTTTATAATAATTTTCATCCTTTCTCTTTTCAATATATTAAATGATGGGTATTTTTAAAAATTTATATTTTTGTTTTGAAAAAGATAAGGTTATTAGGTGTATTTAATGAGATTTATTGTTATGTAAAATTTTAGCTAAAAGTATCTTATAATTTAGGATAGAGGGAGTATTAATTTGTGGCGCATGGGTATTGCACTCACGCTTCATTTAAGATTTGAATTTGGCAACTGTATTTAATGTAGGCACTGAGTGCTTGTAGTATTAGAATATTTAAAATCTAGATCAATCGTTTAGATAAATTTACTCATTCATTAATTTCAAATAGAGTATGAAATCAAAACTATTGATTTGAATTTTAACGATTCAAATGCTACAAGTACTCAATGCCTATATTAAATACAGTCACTCAATCCAAATCTCTTCATCAATAGTTTTGAGCCATGTTTCATTAATATTTAGTTAACCTTATGGATTGTGTCATGCTTATTAACTTTGTTATATATGATGAAGTTCTACTGTAAAACAAGTTTTGAAATAGATTTATTTTGATTTTCCCTTATTTAATTCCTAGTTATATTATGATGATGAAATTTATAAATTTGATCGATATTAACTGTTATGTTGTCACTATATATTTTAAATGTTGACATTAAATTGTGTGATCTCGCTATGAAATGAAGTCAGTGCACAGGATTGCCATACATCGTTTCAGAAGTTTTCAAGGGATTTGGAATCCGTGAGTGGACTAAGTCTTTTCATTTAATTAGTGTCTCAATTTCAATCACTAAATTTTATGATTATTTAAAAATTATCAAGATATATGTCTTTCTAAAAACAATAATCCTCTTGATTAGAAGACTCTTCAAGTATGTTGTTTCCTTAAAAAATTTGAGATTAGATATATTCTAAGTGTTGTGGCATTAGTGTGTATCAGAAGTCTTATATTGCCTAAATGAAAAGTGCTCTTAATATATAAATACTAAGGAATGACATGAGTTAATAAAATGAGTTTAAAGAAAAAGCGAGTTTACATGCACAAAACATGCCAAAAAACATTGGGTTCTTTTTACCGAATTGTTTTTGTAAAAAATAAATAAATATTTATTTACATGAACTTACCAAAAAATCTCATTTTTTGGTTGTCTAAAGTTTGAATTCAAACCGAAAGCATTTTCGGCCTTCAAACAGATTCTCGAAATGGATGTATAAATTCCTGAGCCTATAGATAGGCATGCATGGGGACCGAATTGCACATCAATGTATTGAGCTTTCAGGGCATTTTTCTCCTCCCCCCTCCAACTTCTCTTGTGTTTGTGTTATTCATTTGAATTCCTTTCTTACTAGTGTCTGCTGTTCTATGCCCTTGCATTTTGCAAGACATTCTTGTTTAATCCTAGAAAACTGCCAGTTCGCTATCTCAGTGTGTCAGAATAGTTTTTAAATACAGTATTCTTCCGGGCATAACTCAAACAGTTTACCTTCATACTGCCATCACTAAGTATTATATGACAAAATTGACCGTTTGATTAAATCAGATAATTGTTATTGAATTATATAAGACACTTATTGAATAAATGGATCTAAACCTATTTTTAAACCTAAGAAGACAATGAAGTAAGTAGGGATAGAGAGCGATGAGAGTCATGACGAAAAGGGCTACATAGTTGTACATGAAGACAAGATAATAACATGGGATTTTTTTGTCCAGATATATAAATCAGAGTTTGAATTTTTTTTTGGGTAAAATAGAGACGTTTATATTTTAAATAACAAAAGAGGTTTAATTTATAACAAATGTACGTAAAAGAGAAAACTATTTTTTTAATACCAAATTACCTTATTTGGTCATATTTTTCGGTCACACTGGTAAGTTCGTTTTGATTTTGTTAGTCATGCCTAATTATAACTCATCACTCTTATAGTTAATTTATTTTAAAAAGTATTAGTTAGTATAAATACTTTTTAATAAAAAAATTACAGATCAAAAGAAATATAATAGTGTGAATTTGAAGCTATGAGGGCATGACTATACGCTATTTATTTCACGACTGATTTAATAGGTGGTCGAACCGTTTCAGGACCTGACCAGTTGAATGATTCAGACTATGAAATAATTTTACTTGAAACCGTACACATATTGTAGCTTTTGAGTTTTACCTACTTTAATTTGCTATACAATCATCTTATGATCATATATTTTGTCCAGAAATGCAAATGCAAATTAGATTCAATATACAACACTCATTTGCTGGGTCAACACACACACACACACACACACACACACACACACACACACACACACAAAACAAACATTAAGTATTAACTTGAATTCGGTAAACTCTATTTTAATTTGTCTTTAATCCCTTCCCCCAGACTTCGGTGATTAGAAGGAAGACTGGAATACAAAGAATTTTAGTAATTTAAGAAATGTATATAGTAATATTACTTGTACTTCTCTTTCTCTTTAGTTAAGATTTTTGCTGATCCAAAGTCCCTATCTTCTCAAGAATTTTTAGAAACAAAACATTTCTAAAGATCTATAATAATAATAATAATTTACTGTTAGTGTTTTTGTAAAAAACTCATTTATTTTACCCGTTAAAATTACAATTTCATATTCTGTTTTCTTTTGTTTATCAAGCTATCTCCACAGCAATTAACTATGAGACTAATCCTTCAAAAAAATTTAAGCATCATTCAAGGGGTTAATCTCTCTCAAGTAATGTAGTCCATGAAATCAAACTTTGAAATAATACTTAAAAAGATAACTTTCAAAATATTATCAGTTTTTTTTTTTTAATACTCGTTGAATGTTAAGCTTTTGTATATATAAGATTATACAATCGTGTCGAAAGTTCACTGACAATAAAAGTGCTCGTAGTTGGGCCCAAACAGATGATGAGTTTATCCTTGTGCGTGGTCACCTAGACCAGATCAAGCTATATAACTTATATAGACCATGGCTAATAACTTGTAATTTATAATATGAAAAGATCAAGTTTACAACTTGAAGTTCAAGTGAAGATTTATAGTTTCTAACTAATTAGTTATTACCCTAAAGAATTGTGACTAAATTTAACCCCAATTATACAAGGGACAAAGAAAGAAAATACTATTTATAACTATAATCACAAACAAATGATGAATCAGTATCAGAATTTGATATATATATATATATATATAATATTTTAAAAAAAAAGGAATAAAAGATCAATCTCTCAACCTCTCTCTCCCCTCATAATATTTATCTACCTGTAGTAGCCTCACGTCCTGGCATTTCTCTGAATCTCTCATTTATACGAACCCTAGTTTTTGTTGAAGAAAGGCCAGAAATTTCAGGAGATCTGTTTCCCTCCCAACCTCCCACCTCTTTCCTCGTCCCCAGCCTTTCCCGCCGGAGACGCTTTCTCTTTCTCTTCCTTTAATTCGTTTGCCATGAACATCGTCTCTCGTACCACCACCACCAGCAATAACCACAACAACAACAACCAGGCTTGTGCTGCTTGTAAGTACCAACGTAAGAAATGCGCTTCTGACTGTATTCTCGCACCTTATTTCCCTCACGATCGCCAACGTCAATTCCAAAACGCCCATAAATTGTTTGGTGTCAAGAAGATCACCAAGATCATCAAACACCTCGACCCCCTCGATAAGGACCAAGCCATGCGAACCATCATTTATCAATCCGACATGCGAGCCAACGACCCCGTCGGAGGTTGTTACAGATACATTCTAGAACTTCAAGCTCAGATCAAATACCACCAGGCTGAGCTCGAGCTCGTTCTTCAACAGCTCGCTGTTTTTCGATCTCAAGCTCACCTTCATCATCATCATCATCATCATCATCATTTGAATCCGTATAATAATAACCCTATTGCACCATTACTACCTCCGACTCATCATTATCAATATCTTCAACAGTTGCCACGGCAAGATCAGACGTACATGATAGTCGAGCAGGAACATGAGAATAATAATGATGTTACTTTGCAGGACGAAGTTAGTGGTTGGCCTGTGCAGGATTCGGTGTCGTTGTCGTCTTTATCGATACAGAACAAGAATAATGGAGACGACGTAAGTGGTGGTTATGTGGGTGATGAATTATATAATGATCATAAGTCTTCGTCTTCGTCTTTGCTTGACATTCATTGTGATGATGAAAGGAATGAAATCGGTTTTGATGAACCTCAAGAATTTGTGGATCGCAGGTGTGTCTTTATCACTGTCGTGTTCAATTTATTTATTGGTCACCATCCCAAGTTTGCAATCTCTGAAATTGCCCTGCATAAGTAATATATATGGTGTTTTTTAAATCTCATTTTCAACTTTCAAATGAGTTTTGCAAGTGATAGTGAACCTGATATTGGGGGATTAGTGTGGGTTTTCCAATTAATGGACGTGACAAAATGTCTAGGCTATTTTTTTAGAAGAGATGTTTAAAATGGAGAGCAATGTCAAGAGATCATCCTTCATGGGGCTTTGATTTTTGGCTGGAAAGACAATAAAGAAAACCCGGAAGCCTAATTGAAGTTTTAGTAATGTCTACTTCTTAAAACAGCATTGGTCAAATTCATGAAGATTTGACCTATAACTCACAAAATTATTGGTTCAAATTATGTTGTCAATGTGAGGATTTTATTAATTAAAGAGAATTATGTAAATATATACTTCTATATTGGTGAGCCCTCCAGACCCTCACCTAAACTTTATTGTCACCCAAAAAATAGGAAAGATAATCAATACATAGAGTAGAGTAAGTGGAACCAACTCACTTAAGGTTGATTTAGTTAATAAGGGTTTAATTCATAACTCACAAAATCATAAGTTCAAATCTTGCTATCAATATAAATCTTATTGGTATATAATTTATAAATACCCTATAAGTGTTCATGCCTAGAAATATGTCTTAATTTTGGTGAGCTTCCAAGACCTAGCTCACATAATTTTTTTTTTGTAAAAAAAAAAATCAGCACACGGAGTAGGTTGGGTCTCACTTTAACCATGTATATAGTTCTATCTTTACAACACCATACTGTTACAATAGAGAATCATATTTCCTTAACGACCCATTCTTTCTTGTTCCCTAAACATTTGCCTTTTATTGGTTTGATCAAAATTGTTTATCTAATAAGCCTAGCAGTTGAATTTATCATTATTTTTTATTTTGGTAGGAGTTTTGCACTTTTGCTAGAGATTAAAACTGAAATAGTTGAGCTTCTTTCAAAGATACTGAAATAGTTGAATTTATCATGGATTGTTATAATAATTCGCTATATTTTCTAGAATTATTGATGAAGCAAGTTGTTAATTTTGAGTTGTTTGAGCATTTCAAAATAATAAGCATCATGCAATATAATTTATTAAAGAAAAGGACAAAGATAAAAAGATGATGCAGTTTGGATGTACATTGAACCACCGCCTTTTCATTTGGATGGGGATAAAAGTAGAAAGGAAAGAAAACTAGAGAGAAAACTTTAAAAAATAATGAAAAAAATTTACTAGTTTTAAACATTTTTATTCCTAATTGACTTTCCTTTCTATTTTTTGTTTTCCCTTTTTTCTCTATCTAAATCAAGTTTATAAGGTTGTAATTTTGCTTCTTTAAGATCCATGAAAGTGGATCTCATTTACTTTACATTCATCAAAAAAGAAAGTAACTAAAGTCAAGGAGTTTGAACCTGAACACCCTTCTTAGAGCAAGGACGAATTTAAAGGGGCCTTGCAAGGGTAGTGGACTCCCATATTTCAAAATTTTCTTTAAAAATAAGTTAGTTTTTGTTGACGATAAATGTTGAAATCACTTGTAACCCTTTCACTTTTAAATAAAACTTTAGTTATGGTCATCCATATAAGGATTTCGGGGTTCGTTCCCGTCTTGGAGGATCTTATGTTGTGTTATTCAATGATCGAAACGGTTCATTCAACCGAAAACTGAATTGATGCGAGAAATAATTCATAAAATTATTACAAAACCATTGATCTTGAAATATAAAAAAAAAACCATGGCCACTGATTTGGCCAATCATTGATCTTGAAATTAAAAAAAAAACCATGGCCACTGATTTGGCCAATTCAAACTTAAAAAAAAATATATATTTGCTGGTGGCATAAAATGGTTTTATTTTTTGGATAAATTTTTCCTCCCTATAATATTATATAAGTATTTTCCTTGTACATAATATAAATAGGGAGAATTTTAAATAAAGATCAGGGATATGATATAATTACTAGTGGATTCCAAAAAATTTTAAAATTTCAATTTAATTTAAAAGGATAAAAGTAAAAATAATTTCAACTATAGAAAGACTAAAATATCCTTTACTTGTTATGCAAAATTACTAATTGTTAAATTTTCTTGCTTGCTAATTTACTAATGAGTTGCAAAATACATTAGTTAATATGTCAATAATTATATAAGACTTGACATAAGCAACATCAATTGTTAAATTACTAACTTTACTAGTTAATTTATTAATATCAATTATAAATTATTGACAAATTATGTAATTTACTAATATTAGTTATAAATTACTAATAGGTCTTGTAATTTATAACTAATGATAGTAAATTAAGAAATAAAATTAGTAAATTAACAACTAATGTTGCTGCTTATCTGACAAACAAATATAATTTACAAGTAATATTAATAAATTAACAAGTAAAATAAAAAAAATTAACAACTAATGATTCTATATAACAAATGAACAATACTTTACTCTTTTTACAATTAAAATTTTTTCACTTTTATCCATTAGACTAAACTAAAAGTTCAAAATTTTGAGACCTATTAATAATTATATCACATCTTTTATCCTTATTTAAAATTTTTCCATACAAATAAGTAGGGAACGAATGCTATGATCACATGAACTAGTAAATATTTTATTTGGATTTGAATATTAAATTATGAAATTTATTTTTAATAATTTTTATTTTATATATATATATATATATATTAAGCTATAAACTTAAAATTATATTAATTTAATTACTATACAGTTAAACCAAGGAATCCTAAATTAGTACTTTGACAAGTTTAAACTCGTCTAGATTTAAAAACATTAGCACTACAAAATGCATTCAATTTTTTAAAAAAATAATCAACTAAATTTTTATAAAGTAAGATTTACACTATTTTCTAGGGCAACTAATGGATTTAACATGATTTGTAAGAGAGAGAATTTATGATTAAAAAAATACATAAAGCAGAATAGTGTAGTAGGTTCAAAAACATATAATAGAAAAGACTAGTGTCAAATTTATTACTAATGAAAACTGATAAATGTTCAAAGTCAGCTAAAAGCTAATTATTCTTGCAATCCAAGAACAAATTTGCTCGTTTTTATGTTTGTTTTTAGTTTTTCCCCCCTGCCAAATTGTTTCCTTGTGTATTATTGTTGCATAAAATGTGGTTGGATTCAAACCTGATGGTTTTTGACTGAAATATGCAGTGATGAAGGGGTTTTGTTTAAGATAGAGAATGCAGTATTAAAAGCAGAGGCGGATTGCATTCAACAAAATCAAGATCATGATCTCAAAGGTGCTGAAACTTTGTTTACTCTCACAAATTGTACCACCTAACAGCTCATATACAATCAAGTCTACTGCATACACTAGACTCCCTCACACACCCTCAAGTCTCAATTTTGCAGCAATCCTTCTTTTTTCCTTCTTCTAAGATAGGAAGCACCAGTGCCTCTTAAGGGGTTATAGTAACCACATCCTTTATATAGAGAAACTCTTATTCCTTTTCTACAGATTAAATAACAGTATACCCTCATGCATTTCTGATTCTTGAAAAACTACAGAAATTTTTTTTTGTTTGTAAAATTATAAATTTCTCAGTTTGCATATAGACTTATTAATGAGTAAATGGCACATTTTTTATCAAAAAAAAAAAAATTATCTCTTTCGAGAAAAAAAAATTTGACTTGGCTTTTGTGAGGTGGGTAAATTTGACTTGTCTTTTATATTTCTTTTAATTCTTCTTCTCAGAAAGCTTCTTTCTATTTTTTTCCCCAGAAAAATTGGATATGGTTCTGGACCGGGAAATAATCGGCCAACAGGAAACAAATACTTTTATCGAATCAGAATAGTTCTCTCCAGAAAACTACAAGGTGATCTAAAATGAAAGCAACTGTATAAATAAAACAATTATAAATAAAAACCCAGCCAACCATGGCTGCAAGTGTCAGAAACCCAGATAAAAACCCAGACAGTTGCACTAGTGTCCGAAAAGGGGACATTTACCTTTTGAGAAAGCTCCAGGTATCAGAAGACAATATATGGCCTTTAAAGGAAAGATGTAAGCGTTGGTAAACTAAAAACCATCTCCCTGACTGGTTTTCCTTGCACCAGGGGCACACAACATAATGTTAAAGAGATATTTTCTTTCAAACATCTTGACCAAACCTCTGGCCCTAAGAACTCCCTTCCTTTTGACATTCAATGAAGCAACTCAGACTTAACCGTAAACTACTAAGTATTGATCTCATCTGCCTATGAAAAGTTCCCCATATGTTGCTCCAAAATTCCTTTTCCTACTTATTGTGCAAATGCAATGAACCTCCTTAATTTCGAACAAGAATATCACCCGTTTGTGAATATTGTTAACCAAACACAATCCCTTCTTTATAGAGAATGGAATATTTTGGTTAACTGTATGTTTAGAAAAATCAATTATTGTGTTCATTTTCTGACTAAATTCACTTTAGATAGAATAAGTGTGTTTCAATCTTTTGACCAACCCCTACCTTTTTGTTTGAAGATGGTGGATGATGACAAAGAGATTTCTTCATGAGTCTCTTTCTTATAAGCTTTTTAGCTCTTGACTTCAAATGTAATCCGAAAAAAAAAAAAGGGTTCCTTTTCCTATTTTCTCAGGATGACGTTTCAATTTGCATGAAAATAATAATAACAGCCACTTTCTTCTTTGGATACAACTGGCAAGGATAGTATTTTCCTAAAACATCGGATTCTGAACTATGAAGTGAACTGTTTGTGTCGCAAGAGAAAGCCATAACAAAGTAAAACCCAGTCACTCAGTTTGCAACAATCAAGAGCTTTGACTCCTCATCATCAATGCATTGTTGACTAAATGTACAACTGGATTCGCAAATTTCAATCTCCATTTGAAGTGCCAATTCCTCAAGCATCCTATAAACTTCTTCCAGTCCTGATTGGACAACATTCCCTGCTGAGAATGTATGAACTTTCTTTTTCACCTCAATCCAACTGTGACCAGGAAATTTCTTCAATCCCCTTGACTTCACTGAGATCCTGACCCTTGCAGAATCTTCCCATCTTCCACTTGCGGCATAAATATTTGATAGTAGCATGTAACTTCCAGTTACTTCTGACTTCAGACTTAGAATATGTGATTCTGCATCTTCCGCAATGTCTATATCCCTGTGCATTCTGCATGCATTTAGAAGAGCTCCCCAAATACACTCATTAGGCTCTACTGGCATGCTTCTAATGATATCACTTGCCTCTTGCAAAAGTCCAGCACGGCCAAGAAGATCAACCATGCATGCATAGTGCTCTACCAAAGGTTCAATTTTAAGTTCTTTAACCATCTTGTCAAAAATCTTACGACCCTCAGTGACAAGTCCTGCATGGCTGCATGCAGAGAGAACAACAACAAAAGTGATGTTGTCTGGCTTGAGTCCAGACTTAATCATCTCATCAAAAGTTCTTAATGCATTTTCACCAAGCCCGTGCATGCCAAAACCGCCAATTAATGAATTCCAAGAGATTAAGTCTCTACCATTCATATTATCAAACACCAAATGCCCTTCCTTGAAACCCCCACACTTCATATACATATTAATCAAGCCATTTACCACCAAAATATTGCCATCCATCAGTGCCCTAACTGCATAACCATGGATTTCCCTACCAAGGTTCAGAGCTGCTAACTCTGCACAAACTGATAAAATGCTAGAGATTGTCACACAATTAGCCATTACTTTGGCCTGCTGCATCCCCCTAAAAAGCTCAAGGGATTCCTCAACATGCCCTTTTGAAGCAAAACCATCAATAACAGCACTCCAACTTATGACATTAGGTCTAACTGGAGGATGACCATCTGCCTTCTCCAACTGCAAAAATACTGACAATGCCTCATCACATAATCCACATTCAGCATATGACGATATCAAAGCATTCCAACTTACGATATTCTTTCTCATAATTTCAGAAAATAACTTATGTGCATCCTCCAATAGCTCATGCTTCCCATAAGTGCCTATTAATGCATTTTTCACAAACAAATAATTTTCATATCCACCCTTTACAATATAGCTATGTAGTTCTTTGCCCCTGTCAGTTGAAGCCATATCAGCGCACACAGATAAGACTACAGCTAGGGCTTCAGCACTGATTTCAGTTCCCCTCATATTCAATGACTTAAACAACTTCAGGGTTTCATCATAAAGGCCACATCTAGCATGGCTTGACAGCAGTGATGTCCACGTCACCGAATTAGGTTGGAATCCCTCCAACTCCATCTGCTTAAAGGTCTTACAAGCACTAAGATGATCATGGTTGAAAGCATAACCAGAAACCATACTATTCCATGAAACTAGGCTTTTGACAACCATTCTATCAAATAGTTCGCAGGCATCATCCATCTGCCCAAGCTTCCCATACATATTCAGAAGTTCATTCATGACATGAAGATGATTCCGGAAACCCATTTGCAAAGCATGACAATGAACAATCTTGCACAGAGTGGGGGTGACCACATTTGAACATGCCCTTATTATCAGAGGAACAGTGAACCCATCAGGCCAAAATCCAAGCTTTCGCATCTTAGCATAAAGTTTAAGTGCATAATCATAGTACCCATGAGAGACATTGGCTCTAAGAATTGAATTCCACAAAAGCAGATTTTCAAGGTCCTCAACTCGGATTGCATCAAATACGTTCTGAGCATCTCTAACAAACCCAAAAGATGCATAGACAGCTATGAGTTTGGCGGCCAAGAAGGCTGACTGATGAGCACCAGTAACAAGAAGTTGGGTGTGAACTTGTTGAGATTGCTGGACTGTAAGGCATCGCTGAACAATGACATCAAAGAAATCAAGGAGTTCATTGCTGGTAATGCAGATCTGATGTGATGGCCGTGGTCTGAGAAAATGATTGTGGTCTACGTAGATAGAGCAGCTGAGCCTATGCACCAAGCTGAAAGACTTCACTCGGTATCGTGAAGATATAGATATGAGGCGGTCAGAGGCAGCATAGAGCATGAAGTCTCATAGTTCTGACAAGATTAAGGATTTATTAATCTTTGGCACTGGACGGAGAAATTTGAACTAATCTTGTTCTTCTTCTTTGATTGAAGATGGTAGCCAAAGGAAAATGCTATCTTGTTGCAATCAAAGAGCTAAAAACAGAGGCTGACTATTATACAATTCCACAAGTAGGCCCTTTCGTGCCTGCGAATTTAAAACAGGAATAGAATTTATACTTGAACGAAAATTTAAGAATCTGATTATGTAATCAACCATATGCAATGGGCTTTCTCTGAAAATATCGAATGGAAGCAAAAATACAAAGCATTCACGTCATTGAACCAACTCCATAGTTGGAACCAAAACAAATTTATAGTTAAATCGCCTGCCTATATGCCTCTATATAAACAACTTTGTGACTGAAAGTTATAAACAATCCGACAGAAGTTTGTCTTGATAAACTCCTCTACCTTATTTTCTACTTCTACTAGTCAGCATCGGCGGACCTATACTACACTCTGTTGGGGGCATCGGCCCCCACTGAAATCTTTGAAATATGCATAGTTGATATAATCCCCTCTTAATTTTTGTTCCAGATACTTTGGCGCAACTCGAGCTAAGTCATTTACAAGATCATACATCACAAATACCTCGAGAATTTTCCAAAATTGATGGTAATATAAAAAGATTAATAAACAGAATGCCAATACACAACAAATCCAACATTGCAAAACAACATCCATATCATACAAGTCGCTAGTAATCAAAATGAAGAGGGAAGAAGTATAATAGCCAACTAAACACCATTCAAGCAAAAACTAGTACAAAAGGAGGGGGACTCAATATGTAAATATTCCCAAATTCAAGAGCATAATATTCCATGATTACACGACCAGATTCAAAGCGAAATTAAAATGAAAACTTTAAAAGAAAGCAAGAACAGCCAAGCAGCGAACAGATGACGCGGGAAACAAATTCAAATCTAGATTTAAAGCCAGATTGAACAAATCAACGCCGGATTTTGGGATTAGAAAAAACTCTAGGGGTTCGAACCTCCTTCACTGCTTGCCTGAGAACTACAGTGTGGAATGGTTGTTCGTCAGTCGAAGGGAGCTGCATCTGCCACTCGCGAGACAGGGTTTTATCGGGTTATAATGGGAAGAATCTGCATACGTCGAAAATTAATTACTCATTTAATGAATATAATAAAAAAAAATTTCACCCATTTTTTTAATACCAAATATATTTTTAAATTTAACTTTTTTTTAATTCTTATTCTATTTCGAATTTCATTTCTTTCAAAATAACTACAAAAATCAAACGAGACCTTATACCATGATATTGAATAATATTTTTAATGCTATATAATATAAAAGAGTTGAGTGTGTTGTGTATATATAAGTATAAACTAACAAAATAATTATGGCAAAAATCTGTATTTTTATGGCAGAAAATAAAATAAAATTAAAATAATAATAATAATTTTTTTAAAATATAAAAATGATAATTTAATATCTCAAAATGTCATAATTTCCTTAAAATTTTTAAAAGCTTTTCTATTATTAATAAATTTATATAAATTATTAAATTATTCTTATTAAAAATAAACAATTTATAAATTTTATTTAAATATTCACAATTTTTTTTTCTTATATTCATAACAATATAACAATAAATAAAAAATTTAACACATAAAATTGTAATTTATTATTGTATATTGTGAAGATAAAAAAAAAAGTTATAAATATTTAAATAAAATTTATAAATTATTTATTTTTAATAAAAATAATGTAGTAATTTATATAAATTTATTAATAATAAAAATTTTTGAAGATTTAAAGAGAACTATAACATGTTGAAAAATTAAATTATCAGTTATATATTTTAAAAAAATTTTATTATTATTTTTTTAAATAATAATTTTAAAACATAAAAAGATAATACTATCCCCATCCACCCTCACACTATTTTACCCTCTTCTTCCTTGCAGCGACTTGATACAAAATTAACAATGAAGATTAAAAAATTATGTAATCCTTTTGATTTTTTTATAAATTACATTTTAAAAAATATATTTAATTTTATTTATAAATCATGTAATTTTTTATATAATATTTAAAATATATTTTTAAAATTATCTTTTATAAAAAAAATATAATATTATTTTTTAAATTAATTATATAAAAATATATTTAAAATTTTATACACCTTTATTTTTTATATTTTATTAAATTGATATAAATGAGGTTGGTAAAAATAATTTATAAAAAAATTAAAGAAATAAATTTTTAAAATAATTTTTAATTATGCAACCAAATCAAGAAATAATGTATTAATGTTTACGTGGAGAAGTTTAATGTATTCTTCTTCTTCTTCAAATCAATCTCCAAACCCCATGCCTTCGAACTTGAACCCAGATCCCACAGCTTAAATGTTCATAGATTTTATTCTTTGAATCCCAGACCCATCAAACCCAAACCCACAGCTTTGTCCGCAATCTTCTTCTTCTTCGAACCCCAAACGCAGCCAATGACGAGGGTGACGATGAGGAGTGGCGATGGACGACGCGGAAAAAGTCGAAGAGGGGTAGTGGAAAATTGAACAACGACAAGTGGGTATTTGGGTCAAGAGAAAAAATTTTCTAGGAAAATAAAATTTTCCTCAGTCATAGGCTTGGAATCCAATTTTCATTCTCCCTCCTGAAATTTGATTTGCAATAAGCTAAATTCCTCCCAACGAAACAAGAAAAGTTTCTCTTTCCTCCTCCTTTCTCTTTTTTGGAGCCCAAATTCCTATGAAGCAAATAGGGGTGTTCACGGGACGGGACGGGACCGGGACACCCCCGTCCCGTGTCCCGTCCCGAAAAAAATATTGGGACTGAATTTTGGTCCCGTGTCCCGTCCCGTCCCGAAAGTCGTCCCGTCCCGTTAAGAGTCGGGACGGGATCGGGACAAGATCGGGACGTCCCGCCGTCCCGATAAATGGAATAATGTGAAAAAAAAATCTGAATAATAATGTTTTTTAAAATTTTAAATTATATAATTTATTAAGTTTAAAATCAAAATAACGCAAGTACATAAATAACAATAATTTAAAATCAATTATTGAATTATATTAATCATAACTACATATTATAATAAAAAATGTAAGTGATCTTTATGCTATAAGATTAGCAACAACAGGCAAATCAAACACAACATTAAATAATTGTTCTTCTTCTTTAGTGAAGATGTATTAAGCCAATTACTCTTCTAAAAATAAGTAAGAAATATGTTATAAAGAAAATTTATTAAATAGATAGATATAAGAATAAATTATATTAATATAATTAATATATTATAAAGAAAGATATCACCATGTTTACTCCATGCCATTAAAATTATCAATATAAAACAACTTTAGTTTTAAATAAGAATTACAAGTATTAAAATTATAATTGATATAATTAATATAAGTATAGATTATGTTGATATAATTAATATATTTAAAATAAAAAATAATATATATAATATTCGGGACGGGACGGGACGTCCCGATGGTAATCCCGTGTCCCGTCCCGTCCCGCACTCCTTTCCTGTCCCGTCCCGTAAAGTCCCGTCCCGATTATTTTCGGGCCGGGACAAGACCCGTCCCGATATGATCGGGACGATACCGGGCCAATCGGGATGGGTCCGGAATGAACACCCCTAGAAGCAAACGAGGCTTGAGATTTTTACCGGGATTTTTTTTTTTCAATTCTCATTTTTTTCTAAGTTTCCCATATCCATTTCTTCAAATAATAAAAATGAACCGTAATTTTTTACTATGTTAATTTAAATGACAGAAGTGAATTTGACCAAAAAAAAAATTAAAGCAGATAAAAACATATTTTAATATATACCTATCAACGCAAAATGTACATGGATGGGGAAAATAATAATTCAAAATTTATAGGAGTATGAAACGAAAAGGCAATTATTATTTTACAAATTCAATAAAACCAATAAAAAATAGTTAAATCATTAATATTATTTTAAGAAAATTAATTTATTTTTATTAAATTCATTATTTATAAAAATACTTTCTCTTTTGCATACAACCTCTTACTCTACTTATAGAAATTTGTGAGAGGACAAACTTAGATAAAAATAAATAATAATATATTTTTTATGCAAGATGACTTGTAAAAGAGATAATCAATTTCTTCAAGAAAATGCCCTATATAAACTATATAAAATTGAAGGAAGTATGCGAGGATATGATTTTCATGAATGAAATGCAAGGACAAGGAAATTGCCCTAAGGGGCATTTTCATTTTCTGTTCAAATATCTATTGAACCTGTGTGTCTGTTAGTGAATGAAAGATGGTAACAACTTTGATCATCATGAACAAATTAATGTAACTGGATTGGAATATTCATCATTTTGGTTCATCATTAATTTTATCTGAACATATAACTACGTGAGCTTCGAATTATAAATCCACCATCACTTATGGGTACTTCGTACGTACCCATACGAAAAATGGAAAATGTCTCCTCCATAAGCAGAAAATAAATTGTAGTTCTCATAAATGATGAATTAATTTTGTACTTTTGTTTGGTGACTTGTATTTAATAGGAGGGAGAGCTTTCATAGAATGGAATTGGATCCGTGTTCAAAACTAGTATGGACATTTGCAAAGATCTGGGATTAAGGAAGATTTACATCTGCCTTGACTCATTACAATTAGAAGCTATAAACCTAATTTGTAGAGGATTGACTCACATCCATCCCTTTTATCTAGAAATATATAAAGTTCAGATGGCCATGACTGAATACACAGATATAGTATATAGTGCTGTCTTATGCTTCTCGATAAGCAAACCAATGTGCAAATTTTCTCTCCAAGATGTCTTATGATTATCCTCTTCAAGCTTCAATTATTTTTTATATTCCTAAAAGATGTGTGAACTCATTGTTGTATGACAGAAGTGGTTTGTCCACTTATCTGGCTCATTGTCTGTAATAACATTGTTACTTTATGCTCCCTTTCTCCGAATTTATAAAACATTTTTTTAAAAAAATTAAAATTTTAAAAGATAAGATACTTTTATAAAAATAAAATTTCATTAATAATACTTTTCAAATATTATATTTCCCATTATATTCCCTCAATCTCTTTAATATTCATTAATAAATAAAATATTAAATATCGTAGAATTTATTTAAAAAACTTTATTAGTAAACATGATTTTATTTAAAAGTATTTTATAATTTAAGATGGAAGTAACATTTTGTTTTTAACTAATTAGCTAGCCTTTGCAATTCAAAAAAAAAAAATTTGCAATTCAGAAAAAAAAAAGTGTCATTCTTCCTGTACTTTATTTTTAAGTAATTGATTAAGATTTCAGTCTTGGTAGTAAATGATGCATTAAATACATCCCAACAAGGATCACATATATTCCCGCATCATATTATAGGACAGGCATACGGCCATATAAAATGAAGCTTTAAGAAACTCGAGAATTACGAGGGGGGCATATAGTAGAAAACATCTCATATAAACATTGTCTCCCACAGCATGAAAGTATCAGAGAAGTTCAATTTTCCCGCTCTCCACAAGTGCCTTTATAGACTTATAACATATGAAGTGCAGGACACCGGGCTCCATCTCAAACAGCATCGACCTGCCATTTCAACTCAGTGAATTAATTTCTCAATTTTGCAATCAGAAGAATAAAACCAAGCAAATATATGTAATTGCCTGTCATCAACTGGCCCATCCTCAAGCTGGATGCCTGTGAGATACTCTTTGCTTCTGCACACTACAAATGTGTCTAGTGTTGGTTCTGGAACTGAAACGTACAAAAGAAAAGGTCTCATTAAATGTTTCCATTAGCACAAGAAAAACAAAAGGGGAGACTGAGGAAGAAGTCCCTGTCAAATGAACATGATTCTCAACGGGAACAATCCACATCCACAATATCTGATATATAAACTTCAGTGGAAAAACAAATATAGCCCCAGAATTTTTCCTAACACGAAACAGCTCAATGAATTTTGCCAAAAAGAACATTACAAATAAGATAGACCCGTAGCAAAAGCCCTTAGTGGTTATACATAACTACAACAAAACAGAAAATTTGAGATGGAAAATTTTCCGTCTGTCAAAAAGTTTGCAATGTTCCTATTTTGTGATGGAATAGTCTGTCACAGAATTCATTTCAAAACCTATATGAGACAGATTTCCCTAGATTTACGCTGCAAATTTAATTTTTTGTTGGAGACCAAAAGCACACATTAATTATAAGATCGCACCAATCTAAAGTGCTAATCACTGTTTAATTAAATGAACAATAATCTAAGAGGCATAATGACATGAAAGCTCAATCTTGGGACAAATTTCCGCTGCTCTCATGGACTGCATATAGCATTATTACAATAAAGAGAAGTTACTAGGCTAAGATGCATTTAATATCGTTTAAAACCTCATTAGAACCATCAGCATAGCTCTGCAGTATCACAAGATTTATGACAATGAAGGAATGATCAATACAAGGGGTATGTGCACATATTAAAAGCATATTCCCAAATATTGTATGTAACAAGTAAATGACTAAACGATGAGAAGAAAGAAGGAAAGAAGTGACATTTGAATCCAGAATCTCATCTAGAGATATAGTTATTTGCACTCCAGAAGCAAAGCTGCTACAAGCAAAAGGACAACAAAAGGACTGCGAAGTATAACCTCAAACTATGCGAAGTATAACCTCAAACTATGAGTTGAATACCCTCGGTCAATTTATCCCATTCCTATCCTTTGAAAGTATTTGCTGAGATACAAGATTTAATCATCCCAGCTAACATACAAGATATATACTATCCACATCCCCTATGCAACTATATCCTGGCACTAACTGATAATTTTCAGGCAAAGCAACTTTGACAGATATACAATCATGATTCACGCACAAAATGGATCTTAAAGGGATAACATATAGATGACAAAAACATAAACCAGCTTATAAGAATTTTAGATTACTCATGTCGTCCTCTTCACTTATTACAGATTGCTTCTGGAAAGATTGATAATTTTCGGGCAGCTTTGATAGAACACTATCCTCCAAGTGTTGTTTTAGATCTTCAGTACACCTGCAACGAAAAACTTATTCAGAAACCCAAATAAAAGATATGCTTTCAGTTCACATATTGAAATGAAATTGAAAGGGAAAAAAGAGAAGAAATTGCCTTTCCTTCTAGCGAAAATTTTCTCTTCTTTAGACAGCTTATTCCAAAGTTCATCAGTTTTCGCAATGTGGAAGACGAATTTTTCAATCTGCAATGAAAATTTGGTTATAACATCAAATAAAATACAATCTAATGACTACAACAATGAGCTCGGTCAATATTCTGGCTGACATGTCTTCAAATATGTCTACAATTATTGCTGGAGGAATCCTAGTTAACTCAACACCTCCAATATAGCTAGAAATGATAGGGAAAAAGATATTCAACCAGCAAAAATAAAAGGGGTATCACTGTAAGTTTAGATTTATTCTAACCATATGAACAAAGATCAATTGCCACATGACACCCACAAAATCCCATTCTCAAAAAGCGAGAAAATAGCTGAATGCCACCTTCTGAATGCGAATCCGGAGGTACGATCTAAGTAAAAACTGGGCTCTATCCAAGTCCATCTGATAGAGAGATATTGAAAGGGGATCAACGCCAGCGGCTGATTTCTCCTCCACTGTTTCTTCCTGCCCAAAATGAAAGGAGGGGGTGGGGAATGAGCTCCAAAAGTTTACGGTTGAATAAAAGGAGTAAACTGACAATGCAATCCTTGAATTGTTAAACCCATTCAGGTTTAGTCCCGTAAATCATTTAGTGTACAAATCAGCTCCTAAAAAATAAGAAAATTATAGCACACTTTTGTCAAATGACTAAGCATTAAAGCACCGACACCGAAGTATGCAATGGCTTTATTGCTTTTGGGTAGTAACTCTGCACCCACTAATACTTGGAGATTTAAACTCAATATGCTTAACATTTCAAGTAACGAGCTGTAAACTAATTTGCTCGAGGAAAGTAAAAGAGCATCAACAATTCAAAAACACCAGATTCATCAGGAAAATACACTGCCTTTAACAGTGACAACACCATCTAAGACGTATTTCAAACTTTCCACTGCAGAGGAGAAAATTCATGCACGAAAATGCCCTTTTGATTGAGATTAATCATAAGCAAAGAAAAAAAAACATCGATTGGAAACTATATGCAAACTCAACTTTAGAGTTACCAGACTACCAGAGGAGCAATTGTACATTGGTTTCCTGAGAGGCCCCTCTGATAACTCCCATGGTACAAAAACTAGTTCTAACGAATTTTCATTCTTGTCCCCGCAGGTTCTGAAAATAACAGAATCAACTTAACAATTTTGAAAATTTCAGCTTTAGGAACAGACCCGGCTTGACACCCAAAATAAGGATAATTTCTGCTTAAAATTCAAAGTTTTAAATAATCAAATAAAGATAGTAGGGTTTGGGAATACCATTAGTTGGATCTGCTCTTTAATGCGGTCAATCAGACCGGTCTCGAAACGAAGAATTTCGGGAGCCGCCTTCTCGTTACGCCATACTCTCTTGAGCAGCTCAACGTCAGTGGTGGAAAGCAAGGTCTCATAATCGTCCATAGGAAGCGATAATCCTTCTACCTGACTCGAAGCCATTGATCCAATCTCCCACTTCCAGACCTTCTTTCTTCTTCTCCTTTGGGGATTTGATGATGATATGTATTATGTTGCTAGGGTACTTGCTGTTTTATTTGGCGCCAAAATAGAGGGAGAAATAGCATTTAAAAAAAACAATTAAACAGATCATAATATGTTCCTTCTATTTTTTGGTGGTCAAAAAAATCAAAAAGTTCCTTCTATTTTTTAATCAAACTACAAAAGTTAAAAGTCTCATTTCTGCCGTGTAATTCGTGCAAGGTTGTTTTAATGTATCATAATTTAATGAAAATTTTCCTTTTCTTCCTCGTGGTCGTGGGCCTCAAATTGTCAACATCTTTTTAACCCCAACAGAAAAATGCAATGCCCCGCCCAAAAATGTGTCTCCAATTATAGCGGGAAAAAAAAAAATCAACAGTAGGCTAGAAACAGGCCAGATTTGTTGTTGTTCTTCTTTTTTTTGTTTTTGGCCCAAAGATTTGCTGAGCTCTGGATTAATGCATAATTACTTATTGCACTTATTTTCAATCAAATAATTAAAATAAATGGATGTTAAATCTAAATATTAATTAAAAATACTGATAATAAGAGCTACTTCCTCCATCCTTATATATAAAATATTTTTTAACAACTTATTTTGTCCTTGAATATAAGAGATGATAATGATATTTTTAAATAATTAAATAATTATATCTTCATTTTAAAAAATAAAATAGATTATTAATTGAATGTTTTCTCTACCATCATTATAATATTAATTATAATATTATTAGAGATAAAATTAAAAATTATTATATTTTTATATAAATTCAACTTAATAACAAACATTTATTAATATACAAAATTTAATTAGAGACACTATAAAAGGACAAAGGGAATAATTAGAAGAAAATATCGGCAAGCAAATCCACTTAATATAATTTAATTAAAAATAAGTATAACAAGTACATAAGCTTAAGTACCTCTCTTTTCGTTTGCATAATCTATTTTGTTTTTTTGACCAGCGCATAATCTATTTTGTTAATACGTTGAAAAATATAAAAATGTACACAAACTTTAAATTTCAAGAATAATATACAATCTATTGATCAATGAATATAGCTTTTATTTTTATATTTTGTAGAACAAATGAAAATTTGAAATAACTATAAATACCACATTATATAAACGGTAAATATGTTTGTATATATACTTTATGGACAATTTTTTTTTAGCTAGTATAGCAAACAAATTCACTCCTTTTTATCTCAAGAACAAAATTCATGTCCTTAAAAAAAAAACACAGAAATTTCCGCTAATATAATATTATTATATCATGCTTACTGTGGACTCAATCATTAAATCTATTTGCGACAACACATGGTGGATACAGAGGTTTTCCACTTTTCCGTTTACAGTTATGGGTTCAAAATGAGTGGGGAGAAATTTCCACGAAAAAATCAAGAATGGATCCCCTGGCTTTCTAAAATATCAGAGATTTTGATCTCCAAGGCAGGCTTAGAGCTAGCAACTCTTCCTCGAAGGGGGAAAGAGATAGAGAGAGAGAGAGAGAGAGAGAGAGAGAAGCTCAGGCAAAAATGGGTTTTACACAAGTTAGATGTCCAACTCATCCATATCTGCCACACGTTTGGGAGGTTTATTTGAGTCAGTCGGATCGTCCACCACGGCTGCTTCAGTTGTTGTCAACAGTAATGACACACTGCATTTACAAACAATAAAGTTTAATCAAATCTAAATATTTTATAAGAGAGAGTGTGCGTGTGGGTGGGTGGCATAAAGATGAGTATGTGGAAAAGATGGCTATGCACTGACGAAATTTCACCTGGCAGCATCAACCAAGGCTGTTCTAACAACTTTAAGAGGATCTATAATTCCAGACTTCACCATGTCAACATAAGTACCTGCTTCAGCAATCAGCACCATAACCTTTAATTACCAAAAGCAACAAATAATGACTTCAAAACAACTCTAGCTGCCCAGCACAAGTGTATAACCACTAAAAAAAAAAAAAAATCATATTGCATGCCAATATATGACTTTAGATTGCAAACAGTAAAGCAGCATCATAACAACAACAGGGTTGTGCCAATGTCCTTAAACAAGCAGTTAAACCAACATAATTAATTCAAATGTGAGAACGGGCAACTGAACAAGATGTCTCTTGATTCTGAAAATGGTTGCACAGAATGCTAACAGGAGAAAGTTCTAACCATATTAGGGCTTCACGTTTGAAACAAGTGAGAGTACAAACCTTTAGCGGCATCAAAACCAAACTTGTCATCGTCTTGTTCCAACAATTTCCCGGTAACTAAGGCACCATCAAAACCAGCATTAGAAGTTATTGTGAATGCAGGTGCCTGCAGTGACCAACATGATTAATCAGTAATGATTTAATCTAGAATGCCCCAAAAGAGGAATTGTTTAGCCGAAGAAACAACCTTAAGTGCATTCTGAATTATCTCTACTCCTCTTTTCTCATCCTCGCTTTGGGTTTGAAGGTTGTCCAATATTTTGCTGGCATATAAGAGAGCAACTCCACCACCTGATTAAAAAATATATATATTAACCAAAACAAATGGTAAAATATTTTGAGAAAGTGAACAAGAAAAAACAGCATATGCTACATGGCTCTCCCTCCCTACTTTTTGATCAAACAGCAAGAAACAAAAATGACTCACCTGGCACAATTCCCTCCTCCACGGCTGCTCTGGTAGCATTTAAAGCATCAGTCACCCTATCTTTCCTTTCCCCAACTTCTGCTTCACTAGATCCTCCAACCTGAGAAAGTTTGGTTCCATTTCCATGTGAGAAAAAGTAAACATGTTTATTATGACAGAGAGTATAAGGCTATGCGACAAACCTTGAAAATAGCTACACCGCCAGATAGCTTTGATAGTCGTTCCTGTGCTTTCTCTTTATCAAATGTGGCAGTGCTCTTTTCAATTGCTTCCCTGAGCTATAAAATGACATTCACAATTTAAACATCATGAAATGAACAGCCAAAAAAAACAAGTGGGCATCTTCAAGTTATGAAGAGGGAATGAAGTATATCTAATCAAAGAGGAAACAGTTAAATCTGGAAGACCATATAATCAAAGTATAGGTGATATTTTACTGCTATCAGATAGCGTCACTTCTGTTTGTGGCTGACACACCTAAGCCTTGTAACTTCTTAGCAACACTTCAATTATTTAGCAGGGCAAGTAACGAATACATATAGAAGATCATTTAGGTGAAAGTACAAGTAAAAATCTCGCACTATTTAAAGAAAACAACATTTTGTGAGCCATCATACCTGCTCACATCTATCTTCAATGAGCTTCTTATCCCCACCACCATGTAGAATAATAGTATCATCAAGAGAAACAGTAACCTGTTGCACCTTAAATTAGTTGGGCATTTGTTGTCCAAGGTACATAAGATTCCTCGTATTGCTTCTAGCCACAAACCTTTTTAGCAGAACCAAGCATTTCTAGCCGGACTTTATCAAGGGTCAAACCATGTTCTTCTGCAATGACCTGCTTTTGAACACGTTATTAATATTCAACTAACGCATAATCTATTCCAACCTGCTAGACCTTGGTGAAGCAATTCCTTAATCTTTATCAAAAACTTGAGGGGGGAAATCCACTAAACAGATCAACCGTACGGTATCTAAAAAATAAATGTGAGGGTAGAATATTCACCTCTCCTCCAGTAAGAATGCTTAGATCATCTAAACTAGCTTTTCTGTTTTCGCCAAAACCAGGAGCTTTTATAGCACAAACCTAAAATAAAAGAAATTTCATGAATATGGAAAGCCAGTAGATACAAAAAGTTCTCAGTGGGATACAGTACAAATTGACACATAATCACCTTAAGCCCAGCACGATGCTTGTTGAGTATGAGCATAGCCAAAGCATCACTCTCAACATCCTCCGCAACAACAAGAAGCGGCCTATGTTTCTGTTCAAAATTCAAATAGAAAACTAAAGAATAAGAAGATTCTAAACTATTATTTTACCAAAATTAAATTTGCAAATCAACACATTCTATGATTTTCTCAGCCACCTCCATTGCTAGCTCCAATATTTTCACCAGTGAGCTCATGTCTGATATTTTCTTCTCATGGATAAGTATAAGGGGGTGCTCCAATTCCTAACAAAATGAAAATTACAATTCAACTGATCATGAAACTCAATCCAATTTACTAAATCAAGTTGAAAGAAGCTTTTTATTTACATCATATACAATTGAATAAACAAAGAGCTTATGATAGCCAAAAATAAGGACGTGTAGTCATTAAAAAACAATAAATGCTGGAAGATCTTTAGCAATATCTGTAAATTAACCTTCAGCAGGAATAAGCTAGAATCTTGCATCCTTATTCTATACCACAGGATCAAATGATAGCAAGATAAGATTAACAAAGGCCTATCTTCTGGAGGAATTAACTTTACATCTGACAAACGGGACTCAATAATTAAGAGAAGACAATGAAGAATTCTGTCCCAAATATGCCATGACCAAATGCTTTTCAGCAAAACTATAATAAAAGTATAAACAACATATAAGTTCAACAATTTGAGAGTTTCTGGCAAAGATGTTAGCAGCTACATGTTGAATCTGAACTTACACATTTCTGGGTCATATGATCAGTAATAAAATAAGGAGATATATAGCCTCTGGCCAGCTTCATTCCTTCTACCACTTCCAACTCATTATGCAAAGTGTTCCCATCCTGCAGTGTTTAACCATAGTTTTAATAATCTGGCCTCAAATTTCCCCAGCTTTAAATGCACCAAGAAAAAAGGGCAAAGAATCTTACAGCAACAGTAATGACTCCCTCCTTTCCAACTTTCTCCATTGCTCTTGCAATAAGTTCTCCAATATCACGCTCTCCATTAGCAGATATAGTTCCAACCTAATAATCATGGATAGGAAATAGATGCACAACAAATATAATAAATAAATAAACTACTACAGAGAATAGCTGTTTTAAGTTATCTAGTAATTCCCATAGTCAACATACACAGTAAGCTCATCCAATCTTGAGAAAATAGAAACGACAAGAAGCAATAGTAAGCATAAAATTGTCATATGCAGAACATAATAGCAAAGAGCTTCTATTTCTGGGATGGGGATGTAGAGCCATAAAACCAGAACATGCAGATAAAGGAGCTGAATTTAAACAAGCAAACAAAAAAAACAAA